TCGAAAAGATTTTTTTTCACCCATTAACCCGGTATCCGGACATAAGAGACCCGGTCATACTGTTTCTTTCGTGATCACGAGATAGAAAACGCCCAAGTGTTCAAGTTACTGTAATAGTCTATATTATTGACAATGAGTGACTTAGCGAGGAGCAGACACTTGTTTGAGACCTTTTTGAAAAGTGTTCCACTTGATGAAGCAGAGAATGAATTTTGACTCTGAAGATAGTGGCTCTGATAGTGATTTTGTACAATCTCATGTATCTGAATCGGAATCATCTGATTTATCATGAGCAGAAGATAAAAGGTCGGATACCAGTGACAACTGCGGCATGTTTAAAGCCAAAGAAGGTAATCTTTGGTCCCTGAGCCCTCAATCCTGTGTAGCGGAATGGGACATCCTTCGTGGTCCTCGTCGGACAGTTTTAAACACTGGCCATGTGAGTGATGAGGCTGAGATGTTAAAAATTTGGGCAGAGGTTCTAGTTCTAGGTCGAAAGGCAAATAGTTCGAATGGGTAGCAGCTGCATACTGAAAAGACTTGGCACCGTACAATTTAATTTATAAGTAGGTATGGACAGTAGATCATGGGAGAGGAGTGTTCTGGAAGCAGTGTGCAGCGTGATGACGTCTTGAGGATATGCAGGTCCCATTTTGTGAATTGCCTGCTAAGTGAGTATCAGTATTTTGAATTTAATACGTTCAGAAATATGAAGCTAGTGGAGAGAATGGGTGATATGTGACAGGATGGTTTGCTTCTAGTTATAATGGGGGCAGCAATGTTCTGAATCTTTTGTGACGTGTTCGTCAACTCGTTAGAAACTCCAAACAATAAAATGTTACAATAATCTAGCCGAGAGAGGACTCAAGTTCTCATGAGACACGCGGTAGCATCTTGTGTCAACAAATAGCGAATGGATCCAATGTTTTTCAAATGGAAATAGCAGCATTTACACAGCAGTGAACCTCGAGTTTCCATAGAAAGATTACAGTCAATATGAACACCCAAGTCCTGGAGTGAAGATGAAACATCCACTGCAGATTGACCAATGTGAAGCTGCTTGGGATCACATTTCTTCAGTCTTGAAGGTGGTCCTACAAAGAGTGCTTCTGTCTTGTCGTCGTTCAACATCAACATGTTTGATGACATCCAATGTTGAATTGTTGAGATGCAGCTCTCGACCTTGGAAAGAGCTGTTTTTTCTTCGTTTGTGTCGAAGTGATCCACTGTGGCACTCCGCAGGTCAGAGTCATATCGTCGGATCGCACATTACCAATCTGGACTGCTTTCACTCTGCCAGACAGATAAGAAGCAACTCATGACAGTGTTGTGCTGCACACGCCATACTCGTGGTGTATGCGGTCCAATATTCTTTGATGGTCAACCGTATCAAATGTGGCAGAGGGATCCAAACACACCATCATAGACTCTGAACTGGAGTCAACCCTCATCTTAATCTGGTCAAGGACACAATTAACGGCCGTTTCCTTGCTGTGGTTAGACTTGTACTCAGAGTGATACTTGTCAGCAAGGGAAAATGTCTCCATGTGTTCCAAAAGTTGGATCTTTACATATTTCTCCACGACTTATAATTTTTCAAGATGTCTGGATCAAGTGAAGACTTCTTGATTGAAGGCTTAATGACAGCTGTCTTGAAGCTTACAGGAACCGCTCCAGTTGACAACTTTGGTAATAACTGGCAGAACACAATCAATGAGTGTAGCAACTTGGTTGGAAAACAGTCAAGGTTACTCCAAGTTGGTTTTGTATCCTTGGTGATTTGGCGCAGTTCGTCAACACTCTTACCGTTTCTTCTTCTATTTTTGTCTGCAATACCTCCATAGTGCTTTCTTAAACCTCTCTGGAAACGTTTTCATATTTCAAAGACATAGACTTTTCTTGTTTAAGGAGGGAAAAAGAGATTTAGTGTCCTTGGCTGCGAGGCCCAGGCACCGGGAAATGCGACTAAACAAACGGACCCAGGGTGAGGTTAAGGTCCATGAAAAGATTATCTGTAAGCACGAGGTGTAAATTATTCAGCATAGGCGTCTGTGGGGTATCTAGTATATGCCATGTTCTATTGCTTAGATAGAACATGGTCCGATCCGAAGTCATTATCCTGTTAAAGACACATCTGCCTATGTCCGTTCCCAGGTGTTGTTATGCTTTCACGAATATGGTGGACCCAGCGGTCGTATACTTCCTGGGGCAAATGGTTGGACGGCTATTCGTAGTCCTTGTAATATTGCTGACTAAAGGCAGGCGTGACGTAGCTGTAATATTGCTGGCTACCGGCTTACCTGACGTAGCTGTAATATTGCTGGCTACAGGCTTACCTGACGTAGCTGTGATATTGCTGGCTACAGGCCGACATGACGTAGCTGTAATATTGCTGGCTACAGGCCGACATGACGTAGCTGTAATATTGCTGGCTACAGGCTTACCTGACGTAACTGTGATATTGCTGGCTACAGGCCGACATGACGTAGCTGTAATATTGCTGGCTACAGACCGACATGACGTAGCTTTAATACTGCTGGCTACAGACCGACATGACGTAGCTGTAATATTGCTGGCTACAGGCCGACATGACGTAGCTGTAATATTACTGGCTACAGGCCGACATGACGTAGCTGTGATATTGCTGGCTACAGGCCGACTCGACATAGCTGTGATATTACTGGCTACAGGCCTCCCAACGTTGTGGAGTATTCCTGCCTTGGACGCCAAGTGACGGAACAACAATGTAACAACACGGTCATAACCCTCCTCACAAGACTGCGTGGTATGTGTAATATGTATACATGTTGTCGGAATCAAAAGACATTCAGCGAGCATACTTCAAACTTGTCCCTTGGGATATTAACCTGACGCCTGTACATAAAACCAATAACCACACTCACACCCTTGAATCCCAATACCCAAGAGACTGTCAAGAAAACCTCTGAAAATCTCTCATTCAGCACAGACAAACTCTAGACTAGTACACTGTACTCAGTCGCATCGCCCGAAAAGTAAATCCGAACCCGGTCTATCCCAACATGAAATTCTCCAGGACACAATAATAGGTCTGCCTCATAAATTACAAATCACCAATCGACTAGCACGACAGGGCCGAGGCTAGGCATAAATGATAAATGAATACGGAAAAAAATTAATCAAAGCGTATCCACGGAAGATTCTGCCAACTGCACGGCTGGGCCAACGGGTAAACAGGCGGCGACACAGGTGAAACTAACACTTGTAGATTACGTTTATGAAAACTACAGGACCCTCTAAAATACAAACGTTCGTCTCGATGGGGGATGACACCCGGTATCCCTTTCTTGTAAATGTTTGGTCATGGGGATACAACATGGACCAATATGATCGTAATGCGTCTTACAACGCCGACAATATTTAAATGACAGGAAACATTTCGAGTGAAACCCGATTAGCTCCAGCACATAGTCGAGAATGACCTGTGGTATAAAGGACTATGGTACAGTCTTGTTCATTGTGGTATAATCGGTGGCACGGGGCTTTAGCCGTGGAATTATTGAGTATCACTTCTAGATACCAATCAAAGACTAGATGTTGCTCTGTGGTCCCGCCATAATGTATTCCAGGAGGAGAATTATGTCTTCAGGAGTTTTCTGTAGGCTACAATCGTGAAAGTTGATACCTGGTAAGTGAACACACTTAAAGTACAGATCAGTTCATGTATCTCATGGCGTCTGAAGTACAGATATTTAATTCAAATGTGTTGCAAGGATACGTGTCGATACTGAGTGAGTGAGTGAGTGGTTTTGTGCCGCTTTTATCCCACCATATCACAGAGGGGGGCCAGCAAATACCTGGGTGGGGAATGGAACGCGTGTGCTGCCGCTAGGAGGGAAACATTTAGCCACTAACTACCACTGCCCCAAGTTTCGATACTGAATGACTGACTGACTGACTGAGTTTGGTTTTACGCCGCTTTTAGCAATATTCCAGCAATATCAGGGCGGGGGACACCAGAAATGGACACTGAATGAAGAATGTCATGATGACTAGGAGACATTTCTGTAAGAACTAACCATATAACATGACCACTTCACGAAATCAATTACGAATTTTAAGTACAGATACCAAAGTTGACCACTGCAAAACACTGGAACCACTTGACCAGTCTAAGAAACAGTGCGCCAAATTATTCCCACCAAAGGAAAGACTGTGTCAAGGCTAGGTTTTATAACCTGACGACTGGGATTTTCAAACAAGCTTTATCTGATTGAATCAAACAGAGTTTTAAAGATGCATGGGACGAATATACTGAAAAATGGCAAGTGTAGGTCAAAGTATGAATAATTTGATCATTATCATTTGCGCTATACCTGTAGCGATGAGGATGTCTAGCTCTGTTAAGTGGATGCCATGAAATGTTATAAGGAACGTGGATGTTGATATTTCAATAAGTAGCTTATTTTTCGTCTTATTATGATACAAGGAGAGTTAAATCAATAATATTTAGCCCCAAGCTTATAACCATCCAAGGTCACAGATTATTTGTGAAATCACAGACTAATTTACTTGTAGCAGCTGTGTCCACTGATTTGACTCAAGAGTTCTTGAATTGCCCCCATAAGGAGAAATAAGTGGGGTGCTGGTGCCAAGAAATGATGGACAAGATGACTCTGGGTCTTTTTTCAGAAGCAATTTCATGATGAGAGAACGTCCATGCTAGCCATGTTCAGTTCCTACATGTCAGCCATATACTGGTACTATTTTCCATATACTTCAAACGTCTGTTCAACACATTCGATGTACAGAGGCCCACAAGATTTCGTTGAGTATACTCATCACTAGTCTTACAACACAGTAGCCGACTTGGGTGACACTGGTCATCATATCCCATCTGCGTAGATCGATACTCATGATGTTGATCACTGGATTGTCTGGTCCAGATTCGATTATGTACTGATAATTTAGCCACGTAACTGGAATATTGGTGAGTGCAGCGTTAAACAACAAACAAACAGCACTTTAACCAAAATACTTTATCATCACAGACAGGAACCAGGTGAATGTCTTAGATTCAAGAGAAAGGTCATATTTTTCATTCATCTCTTCAAATGCATTACATAAAATGAACTTGTATTGACATGATCAAAACAAATGAAAATTTACATTGCATATCAACATAAATGCCATATGATATAGACATAAAAAGTAACAAAATATAACTACAGAAGGTCGACTGTAATGTAATGCGGGCTTCCACACAATACCTGAAGATCTCAGTTAGACTGAAACTGAAGAAATATCATGCTGTATGGGTAGAAATAAAAATCCATTTAATGCAATAACTATGGTAACAAAACAAAATAAAATCAGGTCTTAATGGCATTTAATGTCAACATAAAGATGAGAGTTTTATGGATGTCAGCTTCTTTATTATGAGGATCACAACATTCTCAAATGTTAAAAAACCAGCTTCTGTACAAGAAATTCAAAATCAAAACTACATCTTAAAGAGACATAGTCAAATACTGCGAATTAACAAGATATACTGCATGTTCATAATGTAGTTTTACTGGTGTCATCATTTCAGGTTTTCCTTCCATGACATATTGAGAAATACCCTTAGGAACTAGTATGAACTTGGACATATAAGTAAAATGAAGTAAATAAGAGCACAATAAACAAATCTGCATTATTTTGAGCCTGAAATAAGAAAGAAATTACATCCCCTATGATTACAACAAAACAAATTCCAACGATATAACAGATGAAAACATTAACATATGACCATAGAAATATATCAAATGTTTCAAAATAGGCACTATTTAGTCATATAAAATGGTATGAGGTGAGTTGAGGTGAAATTTGGTTTAACGTCGTGCTTTAAAATGGTATGAAGGTAGAATCTATTTGATGTATAGGGTATTTGATGGAGGCATATGTTCAATCTATTTTCATCCCACCTGTATCCAACAAGCATTTCTCTGAACGAACTATTCATTCAAACAATCTTCCCATATCTAATCCCAAGGACATCAAAAGGATCCTCCCTCAAAGCGCTGAACTTCAGTCAGGTTGGCTGTTCTTTTGCTTCTTTTTCTTCCTCCTCTGTTTGCGAGACATCTCCATTTCATCAGCAAGATCATCTGCAGTGACAGCACTGACCTTGCCACCGTCTATACTTGGGTCAACATCATCCCCATAGAGCAGCTCAGTTCCTGCAGGACATTCCACATTTAGACATGTTAGGTCCTTGTACCTATAGACATGTTAGGTCCTTGTACCTATAGACACGTTAGGTCCTTGTACCTATAGACACGTTAGGTCCTTGTACCTATAGACACGTTAGGTCCTTGTACCTATAGACACGTGAGGTCCTTGTACCTATAGACATGTTAGGTCCTTGTACCTAAAGACACGTTAGGTCCTTGTACCTATAGACATGTTAGGTCCTTGTACCTATAGACATGTTAGGTCCTTGTACCTATCCTACATAATCCTGTGTCTATGGCTTCACTACCTCGTGTGTTGCCGAATTAAGTTAAATAAACAATATCTGGACAAGACAAACAAGCACTGACATACAGAGAACTACCACAGTTGCAAAGCTAAGGACAAGCAGTTGTTGCTAGGGATCAGGGGCTCCTTTCACGAAGCAACCTTTACTAAGGTTAACCTTAACTCCCATTCTTTAACATTGCACTAAGGTTACCTTAGTGACTTACAATCACCTTAGTGCTTCGTGCAAGGAGGCCCTGTCTTACTCCTCTTTCTTCATGTATGGGAGGACAATACCGGTATGTGGGACAGCTGCACCTCTGTGTCTGACAATAAATGCACATCAAGTATCTAATACCTTTACCTGTACATCTGTATGACAATACCCATACTTGGGTGTGACACTACCTGTACATCTGTATGACAATACCAATACGTGGGTGTGACACTACCTATACATCTGTATGACAATACCCATACTTGGGTGTGACACTACCTGTACATCTGTATGACAATACCAATACTTGGGTGTGACACTACCTGTACATCTGTATGACAATACCCATACTTGGGTGTGACACTACCTGTACATCTGTATGACAATACCCATACTTGGGTGTGACACTACCTGTACATCTGTATGACAATACCCATACTTGGGTGTGACACTACCTGTACATCTGTATGACAATACCAATACGTGGGTGTGACACTACCTATACATCTGTATGTCAATACCAATACTTGTGTGACACTACCTGTACATCTGTATGACAATACCAATACTTGCTTGTGACACTACCTGTACATCTGTATGACAATACCAATACTTGGGTGTGACAATACCTATACATCTGTATGACAATACCAATACTTGGTTGTGACACTACCTGTACATCTGTATGACAATACCAATACTTGCTTGTGACACTACCTGTACATCTGTATGACAATACCAATACTTGCTTGTGACACTACCTGTACATCTGTATGACAATACCAATACTTGGGTGTGACACTACCTGTACATTTGTATGACAATACCAATACTTGGGTGTGACAATACCTGTACGTCTGTATGACAATACCAATACTTGGTTGTGACACTACCTGTACATCTGTATGACAATACCAATACTTGGGTGTGACAATACCTATACATCTGTATGACAATACCAATACTTGGTTGCGACACTACCTGTACATCTGTATGACAATACCAATACTTGGGTGTGACAATACCTGTACGTCTGTTTATGACTCTGCTGAAGCAACTAGGGGGGATAACTCCATCATCAATGCCTGGACTCAATATCACATTATTTGCAGACTTGAAAAACTTGACACCCGCTGTGAAAAGAAAAGAAAACAGTGTATTCCCTGCTTGGTGTATGGTCTGTGCTGATGTACACTTATATACACTGTAGTTACAGCAGATGTAGAAGGAGTTTCATATAACAGCCACCATTACAAAACACCACCCAGAAAACAATAAACACAAATATTACAGCCATCCTAACTTTTATATGTTACATCATGTGGCATGATCAGAAACAACACACAATTGTATATTTCATTACAATATTTTCAGATCTGCAGATCCTTCTTGCTCTTTTCTGCCATATTTGTTATTGGCATTTATCAGCCTATATGTCCACTACACACTGTCCAGTGTAACGTGGACTTTCTCACCGTACATGGGCTTCTAAATACACTTTAGGTAGGAGAGGCCTTGACAAACTGGCACTTGAAGCAATTTTCAGGTCAATATGACAATTAAATATTATAACAATCCAAATCTGTCTCAGTTTAAGATGGAACTCACAGAAACACCTCATCCTTGGCTGCAAATCCACACCAGACTATGGAGCTTATTCCCTGTTTTAAATCCACCGGACAAAATGATTCCACACTTGATTGAGAGTCTACACTGTATCTACCCACCTGCTAGAGCTCTTGCTACATCAACATAGATCATCACATCACAGGACTTCCGCATTCCTGCAAAATTAAGGCTTAGAGGTGAATAGGCTCTTACCTTAACATATACAACAGGTGGACCCTGTGGTACATGCAGTAGCATCTCACTCATACAGAACATGGAAGACAAATACAACTGACTCATCGGTTGACCAAAATCTTTCAAACTGTGCATGTGCAATATAGCCCCAAAGGACCAATATGGTTCAGAAATTGAGTCAGTAGCACCTTTCAGGGGTTTATGACCTAAGTCCTATAGACCAAAATCAGAAATATTACAGCTGTATCACAGAAATACTTCAGTCTAGAACAAACTACTCGGAGGCTGAAAGATGAAACCAATGATCCACCATCAGTTACAACTGACATACTACCAGGTAAGGTACACAACACGTCCACCCTAGCCCTCATAAGTGAGCTTCTCATTATGTTGGGTAACAAGTACCAGTTCAACATGTTATTTATGTGGCAGGGATCTGGTTACTGTCTTTTGACCGTGACATGATGGTGAAAGGAGAGGATTCTTCAGTGTGACCTTTCTCTACTTACTAAATGCTGATTTGACATCTCAATGTAAACACCAAAATACCTTACTGCTTTAAAAACTCCATGCAAACTTTCCTGATTCAAGCATTCTACAGTGAACATTCATGAGTCCAAGTTTAACATTCGTGAGTCTCAGTTCTACACTAATTCCAGTGCCTATTGCTCCTCCAATCATATTACTGACATGGATTGAAAACCGAATGTTGAACAGATCTTATTGATTACTTACTGTCTCGTATGATTATTTCGGAATTTCAAAATTTACTTTTGTGTTCAACGATTTCCTGATTAAGTTTGTGTTTAAATTTGTAAATCAAATCTTAACACAAGCATGAGGTGCTGGGGAGTTCTCACATAGCAGCCACTGATACCTCCAAACTGAGCAAACATGTTGGGATTAATGAAATACTGAACTTGTGCCTTGCACAGCAGTGTGTATTACTGAAGATAATGGTGGGGTGGAATGTGGGGTGATGGTTCAGAACAGCCTTGCACAGCAGTGTGTATTACTGAAGATAATGGCGGGGTGGAATGTGGGGTGATGGTTCAGAACAGCCTTGCACAGCAGTGTGTATTACTGAAGATAATGGTGGGGTGGAATGTGGGGTGATGGTTCAGAACAGCCTTGCACAGCAGTGTGTATTACTGAAGATAATGGTGGGGTGGAATGTGGGGTGATGGTTCAGAACAGCCTTGCACAGCAGTGTGTATTACTGAAGATAATGGTGGGGTGGAATGTGGGGTGATGGTTCAGAACAGCCTTGCACAGCAGTGTGTATTACTGAAGATAATGGTGGGATGGAATGTGGGGTGATGGTTCAGAACAGCCTTGCACAGCAGTGTGTATTACTGAAGATAATGGCGGGGTGGAATGTGGGGTGATGGTTCAGAACAGCCTTGCACAGCAGTGTGTATTACTGAAGATAATGGCGGGGTGGAATGTGGGGTGATGGTTCAGAACAGCCTGTCAGCAGTGTGTATTACTGAAGATAATGGTGGGGTGGAATGTGGGGTGATGGTTCAGAACAGCCTTGCACAGCACTGTGTATTACTGAAGATAAGGGTGGGGTGGAATGTGGGGTGACGGTTCAGAACAGCCTTGCACAGCAGTGTGTATTACTGAAGATAAGGGTGGGGTGGAATGTGGGGTGACGGTTCAGAACAGCCTGTCAGCAGCTAGACAGACAACTCACCACTGATGACTCCATCTTCTCCTGGCTCCCCAGCTGCAAAGTGGATATGATTCCTCTTCATCTTTTTCAATCCCTTGAAACAAAGACAATTTAACTCAAGCTTTAATCATATGTTGATGAGTTTTCTAGGGCTCACCTGATACATAATGAGTTACCGGTACCTGGGATTCACCTGATACCTCATAAGTTACCTGGGATTCACCTGATACTGAATAAGTTACCTGGGGCACACATGGAAAAGTGATTACAATTCACCTGAGTTGTTATGAGTTACTATCCTAAAACTTCATTCATGAGTTACCTAGGACATTGAGTTGACACGTTAGATGACTTACGCAAACTGTTCTGACACTTAGTTACATTACCTAGTTACCTGAGACACAAGAGTTACCTACGCCTTACCGAACTCACTTAATGAGTTACCTAGAAGTTACCTGATATGTAACAAGGTACCTGAGACTTAATGTTGTTCCAGGCGTGAAGGTAAGTCCCATGAATGATGAGCGGGTATTCGCTGCCATCTGTGATGGGGGTCAGTTGAAGGTCATCAACCTGGAGGCAACAAGGCATATTGCCAAATATCCATATTCCGAATACGTTAATCATCAATATGAAAAGTAATGCATACGAAAGAAGTAAGAAAATATTGTTTGATGCCTATTTTGATTTTTATAAGGCATGGTTATCAATATCATTAAAATCATCTTTGCTCTACACAAATACACTTGTTCAGCATTACATAAGAGGAAAACCAATATTTCTGCACCTATCATTCTGATATAAGTATAACTGAAGATACTTAACGATCCAATGGATTTCTCCCTATGGGTGTTTCTGTAAGGAAATACTGTTTGCTCTCCTTGATAAGGCCTATACAGTGTATTTCATCTCCATTGTATCATGATCAGTAGCCTAGAGGTTAAAGCAATCACCTATTACCCTGAAGGACTAGGTTCGATTCTATACATGGGTACAACTTCTGGAGCATCACTGTGATATTGCTGAAATACTGCTAAAACTCATAGGCGGATCCAGGGGGAGGGGGGGGGAGGAGAGGGTGCAGGGGTGCACACACACCCTTTTGTCCTAAAAGTTTATTAAATGACCCATGAAAATGGGTGAAAATGAAGTGTGCACCCTCCCTTTCTCAAGAGTGTACACCCCCCTTTCTCAAAAAGCTATATCCGCCCCTAAAACCTCCATCATAATCAGTGCTGTGGACCACTTCGCCGCAGTAGTTTCAGAAGGGTCGTCACCTTTACAGGTTCTACCCCAACAGGAGGTCTCTTGCTCCAGACAGTACTATGACTGGAAGATTTCACATGATGCATCAAGCATGGTAATGAAGCCACTGCAGTGAGTGGTTCCATGGTGTTAACAATAACGCTATGGAGATACACTGGATAAACCAGGATGCAATGTAGCATCTGTTCCCCATATATGGTCACTTCTTGTAAAAGTATTTCTACTCACTTGAACAGAATGTCCTTGATTTGCTCGTATCATCAACTGTCCATTATCTGGGTCAGTTTCTAGAGTAAATCTCTGTTTGTCGTTGCTGGTAACCACACTCTTCACTTCCTCCAATGTGAACTTGGAGAACCGAGGAAGTTTGAGTATGTCTGATACGTAAAGAAAGCCACCTGCAGACAAAACGTCACAAGTATTAATTTTGTAATATTTTGTGGTTCAAACAAGCCTTAATGTGAGGAATATGGCATACTTCATCAGGAAATAAAGGAGAGAAACACATGCAGTGTTATTCTCCATGTTTGTTTGTTGTTTAATGCTGCACTCAGCAATAGTCCAGCTATATGGCCTGTAAATAATTAAGTCTGGACCACACAATCCAGTGATCAACAGCTTGAGCATCGATCTTCGCAATTAGGATACGATGACATGTGTCACGTCAGCGAGTCTGATCACCCAATCCCCTTGGTCGCTTCTTAGTCTTACGACAAGCATGAGTTGCTGAAGATCAATATTCTAACCCGGACCTTCACGGGTATAGAAAATAGTACCAGTATATGGCTGACATGTAGGAACTGAACATCGCTATCATGGACGTTCTCTCATCAGAAGTGAAATCTCCACGTGTGCACTTAGGTGACGTTCATAGTGATGTGTTAGGATGAGACTGTAATCACTCATTTGTTATGGCGTAATGCTTAACTTGTGAAAACCTGAGAATGCCATAATGTAGCTGGATGGTTTACATCTGTCAAGTTATATGGCTACAGGATAATAGTTCCTGGTGAACTAGAGGCCTGAATAAGACACATCGCTCTGCGCTGGAACACCTTGATCGTCACTGTTCCTAGGTGACTCAATAAAGTAGTCAGCTGGCATGAATGTTACTGTGCACCTACCTGGCAGGAATGTAAGTCCAACAGAGTTGACACCATGTCTCAGTAACCAGGACAGACTCTTGGACAGCTGGACGTCCCTGGAATCGGCCTGCAAATGTCAGAAACGAAAACTAAACATTGCTCACTTCCCTACCATTGCTGTTACATAAGACAACATCACCATGTTGGGGACGTATCGATAATTCAAAGTGAGGGCCCATGTCCAACTAACTTAATTTTCTTGAACCTAGGGGTATTTCAATGTTTCATTTATTGATAAAATGAAAAACTAAACAGATTATGACCTCCTCTAGACTATTGATCGTGCTGTCATTGAAAGTCTCCTTTGCAAAGACGTACATAACACTGGTAAATGAGACAAACCTGATAACATATTATTCCAATTTTGGAATTTTTACCAACAATCATGTTAGACTTGGGGCAAAATGTCAGCCTCTGAGCCAGTACACATAAATCCCTGCCTGTATACAAATGATATCGCGTTTCAAACTGCCTTTGGCAGCTGTGTAGACAGGAGCTGGGCAATCATCAGTGGGACAAGGACTATTATCTGTGTGTGTGTCCGTCATATTTACACCAAACTCAACTCCTTCCCCCTATCTCTGGTGTAAAGAACAGCACAATGAGGTAGATGATAAGCAATAGAGGTTTCTCACAGGTGTGCCTTTGTTCTTCCTTCCTCGTCTCTGTTGATCAGCTGCTGCTTCTGCCATACTTCCGAATCCTACAGATTGGGATTCAGTGGTTGTGCCAGTAACAGGGGATTCCGTGATTCAGTAACCCTTGATAACGAAGAAATGCTCTGAAAGAGCAAAGCAAGAGCCTGTTTAGCATCTAAAATTGAAGTTCTTGCACTTGAAATTGAATTACCAGCTGTCAAAGTTTTACCTCCACTGTGATGAAGGAAGTCTCAGGTAAAACAAATCCACTATAAGAAATGAAGAGTCCGTCTGAAGCAAACAAATTACACATTACATTTTCAAATTTTCAGGAATATTTTATTTTAATGCTGTGACTTTTGGTCACACCATGTAACTCACAAATTATAAACCTGCCCGCGTCCAAGCGGTATGATTCTAGTAGAAGCCATGATGTGACAATATTCTGATTGAGATAAATAATTGGTTTACGTATAGTTTACCTGGCCAATACCCAAACGGGCTTCTGGACAAAAGAAATTAACTCCAGGTAAGACTTGTCAATCCATAACAACGAGGCAACTCACAAGCACATGGTCTTGTTTACTTCCTCGTCAGTGAACACTTCCGGTTGGTATACTCTAAAATCACAGTGTCTTTGAAAACGGAATACGGAGCGTTAACTGCTGGAAACAAAATTGTCTTGCGGGGCAAAGAAGTGAGATGTCTTGAGATAGATCACGTTTTTCTTTTACTTTTGGGTATAAAAAGATTCTACAATCGTGCATTCATCCGTACTTGATAGTGGTAGGGTTGTACGCCATTGCAGTATCATGAACATGTGTTGAGAGAGTAAGTCAGCACACACACACACACACATGACAAAAGTACCAGAAAACCCCAAATAGTAACAACTAGGCTTGATCATACCATTAAACCCCACTATTCACCACCTCACCTGTAAGCGTGTGGAACAGGAGGTATCTACTTAGATTATTAAGGAAGTTGGGGACTGATCTATATCTACGAATACAAGACAAAATTTATTGCTAAGGGACCGTTCATAATTTATGGCTAAGGAGAGGGGGGTTGGGGTTTGGGGGTTTGATGATTTTGATGATTGTGGGTCACCCATTTTGTTCTGGGGAGCTAGGGGTGTCAGCAATTTTGTACACGCATGGGGGCAGCAATTTTGTGCACAAAAATATCTTTAAAATTATGCTTATAAATTATAGGAAGTGGAGGGGGGGGGATCGTTGATTTTGTACATGACATGCAGGGGGGTCACCTATTTTGTACATAAATTTTAGGGGGTGTCATTCACATTATACATGCTTCTCCATAAATATCATCATCATCCCCCTAGCCATAAATTATGAACGATCCCTAAGCCGTGACAACTCGCTATGCTCCATAACCCCAACTCTGTCTAGGTGTTAGATGGAACTGTAGCTCTATGTGCCAGACGGAAACAGCTTATCTGTGTAACTTTAGTAATCATTCAACGTTATATTTTAAAGCCACACCGCGGACCATCAAAGGGTTTTGAAGAAGTCCAGTCAAATTACTCCCTGCAACATGGTTAAGGCAATTCTCCAAACAGCAGTCCAAGATGCTTTCTCAAACTATCGCCTGTTTACCTGCTCACCGAGAACACGTGTATGAAATTACCAGTAGAACATGGGATTGTTTCACAAGTTAGGACCCCAAGAATGGGTGATGTGGCTGATCTAATCAACTCTTCTGTGAACTTACAAGGGGACGTACAATTCCTTCAGCTTTGGTCCATGTCTTCACCAGTACCCATCTTCAGTCTAGGTGGTGCGTCGTAGGGCATACGTAACTACCAACACTAACCAGTTGATATTCTAGGGGAGTAACGGATGATTTGGACTCGAAATATTTTTCTTCAAGTATAAAATTCCCTTGTACATGTACATGGGTTGTCCAGAGCGTGTGATGTATATTTTGGAGCAATTACCCCCAAATACTCAAAATCCTCCAAAGGGTGATTTCTACAGATATCCCCAACTTTACAACAGCTAAGGAGAGGGTAACCTGAATATCGATCTCGCATGATCATATCGAAATGACGGTGAACCAGGCTGACCTGAAGCTGTTGACACACCTCTGCATACACATCTGTAGTCGACTAGATTTGCCTGGTTGTATGTGTACCGTGACGTAGAAAGGTCCGTATATTTGGAGGAGTATAACTTGTCGAACAAGACTATAGATTTTCTGTAAGGCAGCCCCAAACTAGTACGTGTGATTTCCGTATGTACAGCACCAAACCCATGGATGTGTGCCCCACTGTACACTGCTCAGGACATTGCTTGCCGATCAATAACTCGGTTGCGTTTCGAAAGATAGATTTGTGTTTTCGGAACAAATGAAACACGTCACTACAAACTCTTGCAAAAAATAAACATCTTAGTCTTATTCAATGCACTGAGTACAAATATATTTCCCTTTTTGACGTGAATGAGATAAAAGTTGCATTGTGACGGTATATTGGTGGACCTCTATGTCGTGCGGCCGTACCTTGGAGGGTATATAGGATTGTGCGAGGTCTGTAAAGAAGATAAATGTAAAAAGAGTAACAACTACCGTGGTTAAATAGTGGTGGTCCGATTAATTGAAATAATCGAGGATTGGTTGCAGTGACTAAACGACAAAGCAATCGATCATGTGTTCTCATAATCGAACACAAACAATTCTAGAACAATTGTTGCATAAACAATGTCTTTCACACGGTTGGTTTTGTCTGTTACATTTCATGAGCACTATAAGCTCGTCCAAGTCATGATTGAATTTATCTTAAAGACCCCCAAGAAATGTATGTTCCCTAACATACTAGTCATCCTATAAAGATGAGCAATTTGCAAAAGAAAAACCCAAAGAACTACATGAACGTTTTTTCTTTATGTTTTTGTGCAAACAAACATAACCAGGAAAATCTGATAAATGATGCTAACCAATTATTTTCGATGATTGATCGGTTGTAATGAACCAATCATCAATGAAGAGATTTTAACCAATTCCCAACACTAGTGTTAAACTCCTTGTTCTACGTACAGCAGCTGTACCGTAACAATGTGGAACATTGAGAATTAACCAGATATGGTGGGGCATCCAGTACTCTTCCAGATGGACCTCCCTATGAACGTGTACCGGAAGTGTCAGTTGGTAGGTCCGCTTAACTGACTGTATACATGAGAAAAATGGTAATATTCCAGTTATCACAAAACGTAAACGCTTCTTTCAAAGTTCAACAAATCTATCTGCTTTTACGATGAAGTTTGGCGATGTAAGTAAAGGCAAACATTTATGGATGACAACTTCTTTATCTGATGGACACGATGTATATCCCTACTCCTTCATCGGGTGAATGGACGTCCACCTTAATCAGGTGAATTATATATGAAGGAGTACAAATATACTCCGAAACGTTGTGTCCATCAAAATAAAGAAGTTGACATCCATAACTTTTTGACTTTATGTGTATCTCTTCTTCTAAATGCCGTTGAAAGACTCGAGATGTAAGTAGTGGAATTTATACACTCCACCACAGCTCCGAACAGACAGATCCAGGTTAGAATATTGATCTTCAGTAACCCATGCTTGTCTTAAGAGGTGACTAACGGGATCGGGTGGTCAGGCTCGCTGACTTGGTTGACACATGTCATCGGTTCCCAATTGCGCAGATCGATGCTCATGCTGTTGATCACTGGATTGTCTGGTCCAGACTCGATTATTTACAGACCGCCGCAATATAGCTGGAATGTTGCTGAAACTCAGCTCACTCACCCAAAACAGACAGCTGATGATGAGGATGGTGACACAGCATCTAGCTCACATTTTGAATTGGAAAATGATTGACACAGAGATGTTGAAATGAATTGGATGCTGCTCATTGTTACTTCAACCATGACCATGCTGCTTGATAAGGAATACATCTTCCAAAGCCATTGTACAGCTATCAAATTGTTTTTATGATAGACATGTGATGGGCATTTCCCGATTTGTGGCACCAGTGTGTGATGCAATGTCATTTTGCTGACTTTTGCCCCGTGTTGTTCGGGTGTACAAGGGTACCATTGGTAGGCAGGATACGGTCAACTTGATATCCTAGCTGTTTGATAGTTATTCATTAACACATACGTTTATAGTCCAAATGGTAATATGGAATCCGTTTAGCAGATATTATCTTTTAAGAATTAATCTTTCAATCTGTCAGTATTGTAAAAGAAAACAATAATTTAGATTGTATTTTAACTTGTTTATTATGCAAAATCATTGTTGTACGGCAACACTCCATGGTCTAAAGACCTAAACCGTCATATAAACAATTAAAATAACATAATTCGGCACATAATTTATGAAACAAACAATGATTTCAGCTATAGATTTATCATTTCCTGTAGTGGATAACATGGTTCAGTGTCGTAGGACCTCAAACCCACGAGGGTCCCCTGGATAATCTTGGGGCCGATAAAACTTTCATTATTCACATACGATCTGTAATGTCTCTTAGCTGGTTGGCTATTTTCTGATTATAGGCGATAGCGGTTATTTCTTTTCAATTTCAATTTAGCAAATAAAGACCAATGTTCAAATTGCAGAAGTATATCTTAAAACAAAACAATGACGTCATTGTGTAAATATGCGCGAGAATTTTTCTGAGAAGTGTACAGGTAGATGTTAACTCACGTCCATGTAAGTTATGACAAAAATGGCCGTCGTGTGATCTGTTGACCGACTGACTGAATTTGGTTTTACGCCGCTTTTAGCAATATTCCAGCAACATCACGGCGGGGGACACCAGAAATGGGCTTCACACATTGCGCCCATGTGGGGATTCGAACCCGGGTCTTCGGCGTGACGAGCCAACGCTTTAACCATTAGGCTACCCCACCGCCCCGTTTGATCTGTTGACATTTTAAATGATTATAATATATATTTGCTCTTAATCTTATTGAATCTGGATCTGTAGTAGCCAAAAGCGTACATACATCGACCACCATTTGGACAAAGAATCTGTGCACTTCTTCTCTGTGCGCAAAACGCCCCATCCATGCCAAAGAATCATTGTCCAACACATTTCGTAAGAAAACGACACCGAGGTCACGAGGTCTTGGACCTGCAACATATTTCGATGGAAGAAAAAAGTTCTCATTCATTGGCTATAGTCGCGCTATTTATATTCCAATATCTCGCACACACATTTGTGTTTCACCGGGTAGTTTCAGCGGAAGGGGCTGCGGAAGACATACCCTAAATCTGACGAACTTGGAAAACCTTACATCCTTAAACCTTAATGTTATATGGTTGGTAATCCATGCCATTTAGCCTAATGTCGGAACTTATAGGCACGGGCATATGTTCAGGTGAAAAAGTGTCCTGCCTTTGCATGTATTTGTGACGGCAGCAACTGATGGGACGGGATACGCCCACCTGTTTGTGAACACCTCGTACTGATTGTGTGATCGGCATTCTACAGGTGGGTGGGTCAATTATGAAGCATACAACTTTGTGGATAACATCTACTTGTTTATGACATAGAGTGTGTAGGTGTATACTCTTACATCATTACCAAGCTAAAAGTGACTACAGCCAAGTGATGAGAAGAATATATACATAGTATGTTATGACAGCAGAATAACAGCATGTAATTGAATAACAAGTGGCACATAAATGAATGATCCCAAGCGGAGACTAAGAACAACAAATACCACAAGGGCATTACATATCATCGGTCTTGGAAGAGTTAATCAAACTATAGACACTATCAATTATCACCCTTGTTTCTACTCCTGTTTATCGGCTTCATGGCCCGTGTGGTAACGTTCTTACTCCCCACCCGGCCTCATGCAACATGTTATCAATCTCCTGTAATATTAATCTGCTGCTTGTCACAACATACCGTAGGTACTAACAAGACGTTACTTTAGCTTGATAAGGGTGCAAGAATATAAATCTCGCTTTATGCAATAAACAAGAAGCTGTTTTAGATCGTATGCTACGTTTTTACCCACTACACAGTACCCCATCAGTATACTGCAAGTACAGTATAAGAACACGTTTGTCAAGGCATCTGATTACCGTTGTAATATATATAACAATATATTTTACAACGGGTTAATTAAACTCAGAGCTTTAACAATAACACAATACCTCCCAGCGTGTAGATCTGACGGACCCTAGATGTGTGAAACTTTCAAATCATCAAATACGAGGTGAGACTTCTCGGTCCACGTCAGAGGGGCATTCAGACAACCATGTGTTCTGTATCCCTCATAATCATATATTCGACAAGTTCTGATTGCAATAAATAGAGCAATAATAAGTTTACACATCATGTCGTTTCTGAGCGTATAATTATGTTCGATGGTGGTAAAGAGAAATCGAAATGAAGCCGAATTGGTCCAGATGGATGACATCTGCTGATCCCCAAAACACCAGCCATGACAGTCCACTCTGTGTTCACGTACCGCTGCCTTGTATCGATATGTCTTCAGGCCTTCAACTGGAGAGGTGTTGCAGGGGAGCAGACGACGACAACACTAAGGTTAACCTTAACTCCCATTCTTTAACATTGCACTAAGGTTACCTTAGTCTTATCACGTGCTTCGGAATAGGCCCTGGTTTACATGGGATCGTCTACCACGGCTGGAATACCTGAACAGCTGTCACTGGAGGTTCACCTTCTTCCTAGTGTCGTCCCTGAGAGCCTTCAGGAAGGGAAGAAGATCTGAAAAGAGTCAGTTTAGTTTAGTTTAGAGTAGGAACTGTAACGGCCATGTTCTGGTGCCATAGTCGGTGCATACGCCATGCTGCCAATCAGTCAGTCTAAGCCAATTCACTGGAAGGCTTACTAACTTTCATTATTGACTCACCAACTTCTAGAATGCCGATCAAACAATCACTATAGCACTGCAATGTACATGTTAACTTTCTCTATATTTATGGGTGTAAACTATGTAGTGTTGTGATCTCACCTGTTCCCCCGGTGCCCTTGTTAGCAAGATGGTTGTTCTCCCGACTCCCTTTCTTTGAGGCAGACACAACATACCTGTAGATACAGATCAGTAGTATCTAAACCCATAGTGAGATGGAATGCACTGCTCCTGTACCAGAATCGTATCGTACCTGTCGTTACAGTATATGTTAAATTCCGACATACCAACTTTGTTACCACCCTTGAATGACTTGAATGACAACACTTGATATGTCTACTGCATAACAACCTGTAATGAACCATACATGTGATATATCTACACTTTCCAAATCTACTCTAGCCAATCATGTACCTACTTTATTACGAACGGAATGTGATAATTCATGCTATACCTACTTTGTTACCTGTTTGTGATAATTAATTATATACCTACTTTGTTACGACCTGTATGTGATAACTAATGATATACCTACTTTGTTACGACCTGTATGTGAGAACTAATGATATACCTTCTTTGTTACGACCTGTATGTGGTAACTAATGATATACCTACTTTGTTACGACCTGTATGTGGTAACTAATGATATACCTACTTTGTTACGACCTGTATGTGATAACTAATGCTATACCTACTTTGTTCCGACCCGAGTGTATGTGATAACTAATGATATACCTACTTTGTTACGACCTGGATGTGATAACTAATGATATACCTACTTTGTTACGACCTGTATGTGATAACTAATGCTATACCTACTTTGTTACGACCTGTATGTGGTAACTAATGATATACCTACTTTGTTACGAACTGGATGTGATAACTAATGATATACCTACTTTGTTACCTACTTTATGACGACCTGTATGTGATAACTAATGCTATACCTACTTTGTTACGACCTGTATGTGGTAACTAATGATATACCTTCTTTGTTACGACCTGTATGTGATAACTAATGATATACCTACTTTGTTACGACCTGTATGTGGTAACTAATGATATACCTACTTTGTTACGACCTGTATGTGGTAACTAATGATATACCTACTTTGTTACGACCTGTATGTGGTAACTAATGATATACCTACTTTGTTACGACCTGTATGTGGTAAATAATGATATACCTACTTTGTTACGACCTGTATGTGATAACTAATGATATACCTACTTTGTTACGACCTGTATGTAGTAACTAATGATATACTTACTTTGTTACGACCTGTATGTGGTAGCTGCGGAACTGGGTGACAGCAGCTAGACACTTGTTGTAAGCTGTTGTCAGATCTGCGTCTTCCCAGTCTGCCACTGTCATATTCAAACAAAGTATGTTTTAATTCTGGGAAACCATCACCTCAGCAATACTTCGAATTAAACCTATGAATTAGTCGCTTACCGCACCCATGAGCGTCGAGTAAGTTGTCAATGTACTTAATATTATATTCAAAATGTTGAAGAATGCATAATACTTTATTGACACTAATTTCTGTAATACATTTGTCAAGCAGTACAAACACACACACCACACACAAAAAAAATAAAATAAAAATAAATAAAGTAAAGTAAATAAATAATAAAAAATAATTATAATAAATGAAAAAAAATAAAACCCGCAAAAATCAAACTAAACCAGAACGCAAACATAAACAAAGTTTAAAAAACCAAAATGGGTTTGGATAGTGCGTCACCGTGCAATAGTTAATGTCACAATCTAGCTCACCCATACAAGTCAGTTTCCGTGGCATAATCATCACATCAAGGAGCAGTTGTCTGTGAGCGGGGATCATGTAGATCCTCATTTCATCCAGGAAGGCCTGTTTGTCTGGAACATTCAGATCATGAAAACACTGACGTCACAGTGTGCTAAGGAACACCTTACTGCTTAAACTCCGTGTGTGCCCTGGGGTGACCAGTGGATTGGTGTCAACTTACCTGGGGAATGTGTGACTCCCAGGAGAAGGTCTATCAACTGAAGAGTTGTGCTCTGAGCTGCAGAGGCCCCAATCGCCTGACAGAAAGAAGGATTCCTCTTAATGATTCGTTATCACTAGAATCGTCAACAACTCCGTCAGAGTTCATTTCGTCTCATCTAGTGTCGTCTCCCCTCCTCGTCCCATATTTTTCTCGTCTCATAGTCTCCCTTGACATTTTGGTAACACTGATAATTGCTGTGTTCCATGCTCTTCGTGAACAGGTGTCATCTCTGAATCTCAGTGATCTATTCAACTAATGTTAACAGCAATATTGCATTTTACGCCCAAATATATCTGTTTCGTCGGAGACTGGTCATTTTCTGTCGTTGACTTTTAGCACTTGCATTATGTAGTTGAACAAAATACCCCTTGACCGTTCTACCTGTCCTCACTGAAATACATCTAAATATTGTAGCAGCTATCTACCTGAACTGGCTCCTCTGATACACCCTCAAATATGCCTGTCCTCACTGAAATACATTTAAATATTTGAGCAGCTACCTACCTGAACTGGCTCCTCTGATACACCCTCAAATATAACACCATCCGGAAGAGGACTGGAGGCCCCACCCCATCTGCAAAATACGACTTATGAAATATATATGTTGCGGTGGTCTGGTTCGGTGACTTGGATCCTAGCTACCAACATTAGTAAGGCTACTGTAAGGCCTCGTTCCATTAAGACGGCCTCTTAAGTTTTCACGTCGTGATATAACTGAAATACCCCTCAAAGCGCCGTCAAACCGACCGTAGTCAACCCGTGACGTCCCAACTGCCAGTAAACATACGTACCCGCCAAGATAAGGCCGCACTGTGTTGTAGAAGGTATGACCCGACAAGTGTTCTGAAACACATATCTCAAATTGATATACACTTAGTTATTGTCAGTGACAGACAATGATTCTTACGCAATATTTCCAGGGCTCATATTTTGTTAAACCGAAACTAAACCTGGACCATTCCTGTAATTCTAGACTAACGTTTGTTCTCTGAATACATATAATCTTGAGAGTGACAAAAAATTCCACTTAAATAAAAAAAAAAGTCTCCAGTGAGATGGGAGATTCATAAATTTAGGAAATATAGACTTGCTTCATTCTGGAATTCAGCATTGCAGAAAGGGGACTAGGCAATAGCCCGGGGAAATTAATGCGGTTCAGGGCTATGAAGCAGACTACCGTTGCGCTTGACACCGCAAATCACCTGCCCTTGATTTCAATGAACATTTACCGACCATTCTATCATAACTATGTGAAATAATCGAATTTGATTGTACAATCAATAAAGGTAGACACCATAAATTTGGATTGAATATTGCGCCTGATTTTATGACCGCTTCTCTGCAGTATACAGCACTGACGCACTACTTCCGCTTGCCCACCAACATGGCTGATATCAACACAACAGACGTGAAATGTTGACGCAGTCTACTAAAAGTATACTTAGGCTCAGTATTATTCGTTACACTGCTATACTGAGTTTTAACAAATCCTAGTAGAAGGTCGCGTCAGCTAACCTTTGAGCGACCCATGACCGTCCAATCAAATGCGAGACGGCCGAACGGATTTAACCAATCAGACAACGGCTACTGTTTAGGGTTCGGCGGGACTTACAAATTTCACCTGTCACTGACACTGATCTCTCAACAAACGAAAATCCGAATAAAACACAGATATTTGACCTGCAGTATATACGCCTAGGGCTTTCTGATAACATGGTTATCATTAGCTAATATTTCCGCAAGCTGACATCCTTGAATATTGACAAAAACGCTATTTTCAGCGACTGTTTACTCACTGTTGTTGCGTGCTCCATATGCATCACTCGGAAGCGATCGTACGGAAAATAGCATTCGGAATCGTTCGGGTACAAACTTTTTCGAGGTAAAAGTTCAAAAAGTATGTGCGAATGTCAGCTTTCGCGATTTGGTAGGCTGTGTTCCGATTGGTCAATTGAAAAGGTTAGCTGACGCGACCTTCTACTAGGGTTTGTTAGACTCAGTATAAGCAGTGTAACGAATAATACTGAGCGTAAGTTTACTTAGACTGAATGTTGATGATAAAACATTTATTAAAACTCGAAAAATACAATTATATGATTTTCCATATTTATTAGGGAACCTCACTATCATCTTACCAGAGGCAGTTTAATGTGCGGAGTAGTCATGGTATCTCAGTGAGCTAGCACAGTAAAATCAGCTGAAGACTGGGCTGGAACACACATACACACGCACGCACGTCGTCATATGAGTGAAATATTCTTAAGTACGACGTTAAACCCCATTTCACCTACCTCACCTTTGAAGGATCCGAGCGTATGTTCGAATGTTGATGCTACTGGATTGTGTATCTTACGTCATTTACAGTCCTTAACATGTTTGTTGTATGTTGTAACTGTCCCAGGGGGGTACACAGACTAACAGAAATAAGCACTAAACTGGATTATCAACCAGGCCTAAGCCTTACTCTGTTGCTGTTGCTCTGTTGATGTTATGTTCGATATATACCGAATAGCGAAACTATGGAATCATGTCGCATGTTGCCACCCCTACAAAATCCCCAAATGTTAAAATGAACCAAAGTACAACAATGCGACAATATAACAATGAGTGTTTTGGACCAGTTGTCGCGCTTTGGTTAGTTTTGGACGCTTTTTGTTTGTTTTCGTGAGCGATTATGCGACAACGATTACTGCGATTCCATACGAGACAGTGTATAGTAACAGTTCTGGAGTTGATGAAGGAGAAGAAACCATTACCGTGCATCCTCTTCATGGCCGACTGCATGTTCCCGACCGTTATCGTCAGACCAGCTAACCCGGATTTGACCTTGATATTGTCATCTTCCATAACGCCATCCAGAACATTCTGGACTGACTGTAACAGACGCAATGGTCCCTATTAAATACAACCCTGTGAAACTAGAATGATCAGCACCTTCAAGCAGTTCATCCATTACCCATCAATACACGCGGTGTGAAAATGACGCTTGCCTGTATTAATTACGTGATGGAATACGTCCGTCTCACTAACAGAACACATATGAGTCATCTCCGTCCATGAATGTTTAGAGAATTCTGCTGTTTTTGCTTGATGTTGTGCGAATGTGCTGAGTAGATGTCGTAGCCCGTATGACATGATGCACGAGCAATATGGCTGTGTGATGACTATCTGGTTGCTCATTGGTCTGTGCAGGTTCTGACGTCCCTCTTGCTGGAACTAGGCCATCACTTGATTGGTTGGTTAAAAAGCAGCTGCTCCCCGCGTCAACCCAATCTATGAACGATGGAGGTGGAACTGACAGTGGTTCCGTTAACTAGCTATGCTCATCACAAAGCAGTTCCTTTCTGAGTATTCATATCTTACAACACAAGCAGATTTATGAGGGAAGTATTGTTTTGAATCTTTCCCAGTTTCCATTTGGAGACCCGCCATTAAGTATTCCTGAGGTATAGAGGCGAAATATGTTATCGGTGAAAGCTTCATGACATACCCGTTTACCCTTTACTCAGACTGGCCAGTTGAACGTTGGGTTTACCTACAACTGATCCTTCACGAAGGCAGCCAATGAAGCACTATATACTTATTTACTTGGGGAAAACCTGAGGTAATGTTTTTTCTTCGGTATTTTCTGGAACACGTTTTATTTATTTTTTAAACATCTTATGATATTTGACGAAACATTTCAAATATCGATGGTACGCCATCCCAGAAACAATTATTCTTCAGTCTCAGACTCACCTGCAGACCTTTAGCGAAGGCCATTTCAACGAAGCAGGTAACTTTGAAGAACCAGACACTGCTTGACCCCCCCTGGGACAGTGTACAGTAACTCGATGTCCCTGAGCCAACACAAGTGGAAGCAGATATTGCTGACATGATCACTTAGTTCAGGCTGAAGTATAATCTCAGTGTTAAGAATGGAGATACGGTTTATATACGGTTCGTCTAGAATGTAAAGTATTATATTTCTGGTACCCTGTCCTAGGGGGAAAATAATATTAACACTTTCCAGATCTGGAAAGCGAAACTCTGATTGCTTGGACGAATTGTCGCTCTGAGGTGGACCGTGTTTGGTTCTCCTTAGATCTAGGATGTCATTTCAACGATTGAAGTTTCGGTCTACTCACCCTTGGTCCTCAGTGTACTTCCAGTTGGCCAGACACATGTCGGGGTGACAGATGACAGGCTTCAGACCCAGCGTGTTGGATACGTGCCACAGAGGTACCGCAACACACTCAGGGAGACGCTACAAACACAACTATCATATGAAAGAATAACACTTTCAGGTAGACGCTAGACATACAGTGAGTGAGTTGGGTTTTACGCCGCTTGTAGCAATATTCCAGCAATATCACAGCAGGGAACACCAAAACAGGGCTTCACACATTGTACCCATGTGGGGAATCGGAACCGGATCTTCAGCGTGGCGAGCGAACGCTTTAACCACTAGGGTACCCCACCGCCCCGCTAGACACACAAGTACCATGTCAACATACAAGTGTTTTATAGCAGTTAACTGTGGTCGACGGAAGACAACTCCAAGGGATGTTGAGAAGACAGCAGCCGTGTTTATTGTTTACGGGAAACAGCAGTCACATGTTGGTAATCACGTGACTGATGTTGTCTGGGTGGAGACTCGCTCTGTCACAGTCAAGGACATCAGACGACTATTTTTCATCGTCGACGTAGTCGTAGTTGAAGCGACGGCTTGGCCAAAGTTACGATTGCCGCACAATCTGTGTGCTTCTGTCGCTGATCTAGGTCCGTCTCTCTGACCATGTCAGTCAGGTGTTTGTAGGAAGAGGAGTTACACCATGTGGAGCAAGGCCAGTCTGCCACGCACATGGACCTATGTAAGATCCACCGACATAAGGTGGTGTTGATTAAGATATTTACATATCCATTGGGATTAAGGGTCCTGCACGGAGGGTATTTATGATACAAGAGGTTAAACCGAATGCTTGCTGAATACATTAAACAAGCAAGGAGATTTAATTTCGGTAATCTTTGGACACATACTGAAACAATTAGGTTGTTTGGATTAATGAAGTTTAAAACACACTTTTTGAAACGGTTTTGCGCTAAAGCACAAGCACAAGTACTAGAATCTGTACTTTACTGAGAAAGTGTAATCCCAAATATAAAATATGTTACACAAGCACAGCGTCACAATAACACGTTCAACGTATTACAGTAAAATTTGTTGGTTTATCCGTATATATTATTTTCAAATGAAAAGTTCCTGAGTTGGTGATATCATATCCCCCAAATTAACGGCTCTCGGCAGTCGAGGAATAACTCTACATGGTTTCATTTTTTTTTTTAAATGTGAATATATTTGAAATTTTTAAACTTATCCAAGAGAATTCCCATGTCCTACACACGATCACAGACATATTAAGATTTCACACATCGTGGGGGGCTTGTGATTGAAATATATTGCTTAACCCATTCTTCACTGGACCACAATACCATGATACAAAATGACCGATCACATATACCGTTTCACAAAGAATACATGTTGTAGGAATGAGTGATGGTCAAATAAGCACACTCAGTTACAGCTGTATTTTGTAACATAAGTAAAGTTTATTGAAAGAATGTGAACATGTCAATAATTTGACCTAACACACGGAAGTGTCACACGTCAAGAGCGCTCTCTACATTTAAAGGTGCCCTACCTGCACTGCCCCAGCCTCTCCCTCCTGCCACAAATACCCGGATGTGATGAGAACCAGTTGCATGTGGGCCAGACGCTTCTGACGGTACCCGGCCAACTTGGAGTGATCCAACAGAGGCATCTGTAATAACGAGACTGAAGGATTTCTTCAAAATTTCGAAATCTGAGTATCTTTTTCTCATTTTTTCTGATCTTAGCACTACTTCCGTTCTTGCGCGTGGTATGGTCCGACGTAAGCAACTAAACAAAAAATAGCTAGGGCTCAGTCTGAGATGACCAAACGCTATTTCCCATTTCCCGCGATACTGTAAATTTTGGCGTTTCCTACTAGTAAAGAATTACCCCTTTTCCATTTCATGTGGATTAATATTTTTCTGCATTACCGTCACATATTATTTGAAAATGAGAAATCTCGGACGTTTCTTGAAAAAGTGACCCACCTCTTTTACAGCTTGTCTCATGCTGTGCCTGTATACCAAGTCTGGCATGCACTTCGCCAGGCGGTTCCATGGTTCAAAGTAGTCTGGTAAATATTCCTAGAAAAGATCATAATAATCAGTTAATATTGACATAGTTTAGAAAACGTGTACATTGTGATTTTGTTGATAAGATATTCAATAACAAAATATATCTGGGAACTGAACTACTGACGACTTGCAAAGACTGCAGCGAAGAAACGCATGGCTGCGCGTTAAAACTTCCTTGTCCGGGAACGCTAAAACAACTCGCCGAACGCAACCTCTGGAAGTGAGAATTTCCCGGAAGCTGCGGTTCACGCGAGCAAGCTGAATGTGGAAGGAGTATATGTCAGAACCATCTTTCGTTGAATCATCTGATTACTGAAACAAATCAATAGTTGCTGTGACCGAACAAAGTCATTACTATTCATAGTTCAAGAGAATAATTTCGGGGTAAAGCTGTCATATACTACCTGAGGGTTCTCTAGCAAAAACCCTGTTTCTCTGGATACGTGGTAATCACCAAGTTGTATGGAGCTGAGCATGGTGTCGCGCTGTCTGATACATCGGTGAATGGAAATCGCTGCACAAGTACGCTGTACGCAAGGTCACCTTGGCCCGGGTCAAGGTTATTTATATATGTGTTAGTTCACATGTCCAAATGTCGGTAATGTTGTGACAACACTGTTTAATTGAAATTGCACTGGGCAAGTACGTCTGTAGTGCATGTTATATTTAAAGTTACATTTGTAGTCTTAATATTTTCCCGCGGACTACATATGGGAAACAAGTTATAGCCGTTATGCTATTTGAGATTTTAAATCTGTCCCCGAGAACATGTCTTTCAAACATATCCATTTAAAAAAATGTAATCCGTATAAATCTTAATGGAATTATGGAAAAAGAATTTGCTGAAGTAAAATAATTTATGCAACTGAAACATAAATTAATAAAGATTCATTTTGCAAGCCTGTTGTTAAGTTAATTTTCATAAATCACTCAGTTTCATGTGCAGAGAGGAACTATGAATGTTTCAGTATGTAAAATGTGAAACTAGCCAATTGCCATGGTGACGAAGACAACAATATTATAAGACGCCTTGAATAATCATATTTATACCGGGTGAGTTGGGTCGAAACACAGCCAAAACATAATAATGATAAAAATATACCATATGAAGCGAAGAAATAAAACATTGATTACTATCTCCGGAAAGTGAATAAACAGTTAGACTTTGTAAGCACTAATGTCAAGGTTGTAATACTGACTATATATTCAGATACATTCATCCGACAAAACATCACATTCCCTCTCACACACCACGTCCACACCACTCAGGACCTGGGGTACACATCTGTAGTACCCGTGCCGACAACGACTCAGTGTAATTTCTGACTTATCTTACAATGAAAACAATGAAAACAAATAATGCGCAGATACTCAGAATCTTTCTCATTACTCATATCTCATATTTGGACAAACACTCCCTGAATCAATTGAAGGTCCCTCGCAAAATACTGCGAACCGATGTCAGCTAGCCTGTTATTTCTTTGAGGTGAATGTCGGTTGAATCAGAGTAAACGCAATCTCCCTATCTTGCTACTTAAATTTTCAGTATTATGATGTCTATTTTGAGAATAGTTCAGATATTTTTCCACGGAACTAATTTCATCATCTTCATTTAGCCTTGTTCAATATATCATACGTGGATGTAGGCTATACGATTTTCAAATCCTTTGAAAGTTATTGTTTGTTTGAACTACATTTGCATGAGAAATTGACACATTTAGCGTAGTACACCATATTTTAACCTCTACACAGGTGTTAGAAGATGAAAAGTAGGCATAGCTGCAATATGTTCTTATGATGTGCAATATTCAATATTGTAATTTCATATGAAAATGTTAATGGACAGGGATATAATTTAACATTACAAGTAAAACTGGCAATATTATTGAACATGATTGATATAAATTGTGAAATGTATATGCATATATTTTGTAATAAATTGTCTTGTTCAATGAATTTGTTTATGTCGCTTAATGGACAGAACAATGATGCATGATGATTGGCCAGGGGCGCATTCGTCACAAACGTTTTCCGATTCAGTCTCATTGTTTTCGATAATATAATCGATTCATATTCGAAAAACAATTAAAATATTGTGATGACAGGACATCAAACTGAAACTATATTTCTACAAGAATTTAAAAAAATATACACCATGCCATGTTTTCCTTTGGACAAAACGTACATCATTATCTGACAGTTACATACAAAAAGAGCTATCTTTTTCATCTTTCACTGTGAACTTATGAAGAGAAATAGCCACATAATCATAAACCAAGAAAAGTTCCATCCTGTATTCGTTGGTTTGAAATTGTCTTTTTTCATTAACGTTAAAATGATGCAAAACAGGCGCGTGTTATTCACTTGAAGACATGCATTCAAATTGTCTAATTGTTTCTATAGAAGAAATTTCTAGAATTGTAAAATCAGTGATTTTATGTTTTGTCGAAAGAGCGTCAAATTCTGACAGACAAACCTAGACCTTTAACACAGGTGAGATATTTACTAATCAACATAAGATGACGAATGTCCTCTTTCTACAACGTCGAAAACATAAAACAAGCCATGACGTCAACTAATTTATAGTGTAATGTTTTCAGTAATTTCATTACATACGAAGATATGCCTAGTACCCTGTTAATAATGGTGCACAATCAGTGAAAATACATCTACACAAACAGGAGAATGTGGTAATCTAAGACCTAATTTGCGTATCGGGTAGGGACGTCGATATTACGTGCTTTCTCGTGTAATACGATGTCATCATTTCTTATAAGTTGTGATACTACCTAAACGTATCCGGTTACAGAGTGGGTCTTTGTACTGGAGTAGTTTGGTTCAAAATATAGTGTCCGTATCCACAACAAATTCTCTCAAGTGACCATGACCAGAATGATGTCTTCTTATTAACTCATTTTTATTTCTTGACAAACATGACCGACAGCACATCGGTGTTTCTTAACAAGCTCATTAATATTAACGTCCACACAATCCTCAGACGAAACTAGTTCATTCTTTATGATAATGGATTCTTATGTTTTTTTTTCTCGGCCAATTGCATCGTGACTGTGACGATCAGTTCAGCACACCATACTGCAGAGGATCGTAAGAAGCGACAAAATGGATCTTGGTGCCGTTGTACAAAGCGATCTTAGCGCTAAGGTGACCGTAACTCCCATACCTTAACATAGGCTTAAGGTAGCCTTAGCGCTAAGGTTGGTTTGTACTACGGCACCCTGGTGGTCAGATTCGGTTGACTTTGTGTCATTGGTTCTCATGTCTACTATAATCACTGGATTGTCGGGCCCGTCTGTGTTTCTGTGCCGAGTTACCCTGCAGTGAGATAGGATCATTGGTTCGAATGAGAGAGTGAGTGAGTGTAATTTTACGCCGCACTCAGCAACATTCCAGCTATATGGCGGTGTGTGTGTGTGTGTGAAAGGGAGAGAGAGACTTTTAAGGTAAATACATAGAAAAAATGGAGTACATATTCTCGAGGACAAATCCTTCGCTCGGTATACCAAAGACATGGGAACACACAATGCATGAAGCCAAGTATTGACGTTCAATGCTGTGATATACTTGAGTTCACGGTTGTCAAACTTCATATTCTTTTGAACTGATGTTATTTATTGCAAGTAACGTATTAAAGCAGACAGAACACAATGAAATAACTTTCACTTTTATTACACAATGCATTGTCAGTATTTTTTATAAAAAGAAAACAACACGTGTGAAAAGCTCTATAGCAGCATAGAGAGATCTGCAGCCTTCCAAAACACGGTCTATGATGCCTGCTAACACAGAGAACTAATATAGAACTTCATCCATATCACTCTGACAGCTACGTTATGATGGGACCCCAGTGTGGCGTGGGATGTTGTCACTGCTGATGTCCTTCTCCCAGAATTAGTGAAGCCAGGAAACTGAAAGTAGAGGTGATTCAAACCGTCAACACCTGCAACAGCTTCCTTTGTCTACCGACACAGATTCCATAGGGCGTAATGAGTACAAATGGTGCGGAAATATATAAAATGGATGGCTGAAAAAAATTAGTGATGACATGAGCTGTCGGCGAAAAGGGTCGCATTTCCTGCCTTTCCTGTCTCATCCGCCATTCATACAGTTTTCATTTAAAATGTGCCAGTGAATATATAGGTGATAAAACATATTGCCTGACACATCATGATAAAGAGTAACCTTTATACCCCTTACTTTCAAGAATGAACCAGACTTTGATGCCGAAACCTTGATTAGCTTATTTTCATTGGTGCTGATAAAGATAGAAATATTCTAATCATCTGGCCATATTCAGTAATTTCATCAGTGCTATATATAAATGAAATATATTATGCAGCGCACCCTGGTGGTGGCGAAAATCCGAGAGGAAGCCAAAAGAAATCGTTCAACTGTTTGCAAACCATATCAGAATTATTTACTCAATTTAAATTTAACGATTTTCCAAATACCGTTTTACTGACTATCTCGCCTCTTGTACTATAGTTCGTTACTTTTTGTTTTGTTTTGTCTCTTTTGTTTTTAATTTGTTTTTTTATTGGTGTTTTGTTTTTTCTGCTTTGGTGTTTTATTAATTTGGAATGGGGGTGTCAAAAATACAGACACTATCTATTATGTCTGGATTACCAGTAGGCAATGATTTAAAATACAATATATACGACAGTTGAAATACATGGAAAATGTATTCCGTTTGTGAAAATATGCTAGTTCCTGAGTGTGAAGTACGTTGATGTTGTATCGTGACTTACCAGACTCTCGGCACACAGTCAACATCCTGCTGCCATTTACTTCTGCATCTTCTCTGTGTCATCTCGTACTTCCTTCAGGAAAGGAATGAGATCTGAAAGGAGACAAAATCAATTTAAACAGAGATAGATCTATAGTGGAAGACATAATTAACTGTGATATGGACTATGATAACATGGATTATATATATTTACGATCAATTACAGGTTTTCTGAAAAGACAGACCAGGATCTTGCTGTGTATGCATTACATGTAAGAAGATATCGCAGGCTAACTAAAACAACATATCTACAATACAGAAACATCTAGAATGGAAACATAACGGCATCAAACAGGTCATATCCGCCCATGTTCTTATTCCCGGTTTCAGACGCAGATTTGTAAACATACTGATGACACATCCCAAAACTTATATACAAGCTGATCCTGCTAGCATTTCATACACAATAAAGGCACATATATCTTACCTGATCTACCTGTGTCCTTATACGCGAGACTCTTGGGTGCGTCTGACTTTGAAGCTGTCACGATGTACCTACAGGCACAGAGGTCGTGTTACCGAAAACCAACAAGCAATATGGGGGTACACATACAGGAAGTATATACTCAAATACACACATACGTACACACACGTGCATGCCTCAACACATGTATGGAGCTGTCGTCTCTGTTGTTGAAAGGTTTGGGCATTGTTTAACGAAATGTTTACGCTGGTAAGTGGATAAACATATCATATCACACACTCACACACTCACTCACTCACACACACACACACACACACACACACACACACAGACAGACAGACAGACAGACACACATCCATCCATCCATCCATCCATCCATCCATCCATCCATACATACATCCATACATCCATACATACATCCATACATCCATACATACATACATACATACATACATACATACATACATACATACATACATACATACATACATACATACATACATACATACATACATACATACATACATACATACATACATACATACATACATACATACATACATACATACATACATACATACATACATACATACATACATACATACATACATACATACATACATACATACATACATTACATACATACATACATACATGGACGCTTACGAAAATGATGGTATTGTAAATTTCATTTACAGATCCATCCCCATACAGCTTGTGTTGCGCACGTACTCCCAGCAGTAGATGTGATGGTACAATGATATTTCAGAGGAGTGTGTTTGGAACAATCAAAAGAGAAGTGTATATTGTTATCTCATTGATTTCCACCAGAGCAGGACAAAGTATCAATACGATTAGTTTGAAAAGATATTGAGGTAACTGCAACAGTGTCTTAGACCTGGGGTACTTCTTGTCATTGTTTGAATCAAGAAGGTGTAACTGAATGCTGTTATGTAGTAGTTCGTGAGTGAGTATATTGATATTGTTGTATTTCGTAACTCATATGGAGTTCATACTTGCGGTGGTCATCTTACAAGTAAATACGACTGATGAAAAATATTAATAACATTGTCAAATGCACAACGGTTTGTAGATTTGCTACTATTAGAGAGCGATTCCTATCCGGTCTCAAAATATGAACCCGATCTTGAAGCAACTTTGGGAAGATCCATTACAATCCGAGCTGTTTCCAGTTGAATCTGTTAGAGAATTTTTGTAGTTTTCGTGACTGCTATTACCACAAACCCATTCCAATGAAATTGAGACAGATTTATGACAGAGTTGGTCTATCTAGTAAATGTGTAAATGTGTAACGGTTTTTAAGGAACAACCATTTTTAAGTTGAGCGAAAAATTTAATGTTTCCAACGTGGGTTGTCACACATCTGTTTCCTTAGTGAATTTCAAAGATGATACCTTGACATTCAATTATTTTCTTCGTCTCAGATGATAATGGTAGAGTCTAGTCTTCTTTTTCTTGTTTATAAAGGAGTCATACACATTACATCATATATATGTGATAACACACCATACATGTTATATATACCTACTTCGTTACGACCTGTATGTGATAGGTACGGTACTGGGTGAGGGCGGCAACGCAACCGGTGTATGCTTTGCTCAGATTGGCATCTTTGGCTTCTGCCACTGAAACGGGAAATAAAAGGAAAATGCAGAAATATGTAACACTCAAAACATTCACTTCAAGATTCATAAACAAGAGTCATCAGAAGATGACAAACACCCCCGGCCCCCATCAATTTGGAAGAACAATTCATCTGACAGTTACTTAAAGTCCAAAATCTTCAAATAGCACAAGGCACTGCTTCAAGATCTGTTTGATATATCTGCCAGGTTTTATTGAAAGATATTGAAAGGTTTTCAAGTTGTGATCCGGAATCGAAGCCTATCCCTCCTTTTTGAGACTAGTCCAAAGAGAAAAATGACAAAAACCTGTAAATAGCAAAAGGCACCACTTTAGCTTATGTTTGATATATCTACCAAGTCTTGTAGAAAGATACTGAGTGAGTGAGTGAGAGAGTATGGTTTTACACCGCTTTTAGCAATATTCGAAAAATATCACGGCGGGGGACACCAGAAATGGGCTTCACACATTGTACCCATGTGGGGAATTGAACCCGAATCTTCGGCGTGACGAGCGAACACTTTAACCACTAGGCTACCCCACCGCCCCAGAAAAATATTGAACGGTTTCCGAGTTGTGCTCCGGAAACGAAGCTCACCCCTCTCTTTTGAGACTAAGTCCGAAACGTTTCCATGAAAACCAAGAAAAATAATAATTGCAAAAATCTGCAAATAGCAAAAGGCACCACTTTAGGTTCTGTTTGATATATCTACCAAATTGTGTTGCAAAATATTGAACGGTTTTTACATGCCGGAGGGATAACAAAATATGAAATTACATCTTACCAACTTGAGGTACTTTGCGCGGCATTTTCGTCAGATCAACGAGTAGTTGTTTGTGGGCGGGGATCATGTAGTTGCTGATTTCATCCAGGAAGGCCTGTTTGTCTGGAACATACAGGGCACATCATGAGGACCAGTGACACCGGGTGTTCACAATCACCTCACATTATTCACACGTCGTTTACACACTGGGAACACAGACATACACATGCGTTCTGATAAACTGACACAATTTACCCACGTTGACATGATATTTACCTGGGTGAGGTGTCTTCTGATAAGTGTTACACTAAGATGGATGTTCACAGACAATAAGCTTGGAAATACCTGTCTTTAAAATGCAGTACAGTACAGCTTAACTCCGAAATGGCTTCTAATGAGTAAAACGCAATTGAGTGTGACATATTGATGGATGTTGACACACAACTTACCTGGAGAATGTGTGGCCAGGTGAGTGTGACACATTAATGGATGTTGGCACAAAACTTACCTGGGGAATGTGTGGCCAGGTGAGTGTGACATATTGATGGATGCTGACACACAACTTACCTGAGGAATGTTTGGCCAGATGAGTGTGACACATTGATGGATGTTGACATAAACTTACCTGGGGAATGTGTGGCCAGGTGAGTGTGACATATTGATGGATGTTGACACACAACTTACCTGAGGAATGTTTGGCCAGGTGAGTGTGACACATTGATGGATGTTGACATAAACTTACCTGGGGAATGTTTGGCCAGGTGAGTGTGACACATTGATGGATGTTGACACACAACTTAACTGGGGAATGTGTGGCCAGGTGAGCGTGACACATTGATGGATGTTGACACACAACTTAACTGGGGAATGTGTGGCCAGGTGAGTGTGACACATTGATGGATGTTGACACACAGCTTACCTGAGGAATGTGTGGCCAGGTGAGTGTGACATATTGATGGATGTTGACACACAACTTAACTGAGGAATGTGTGACCAGGTGAGTGTGACACATTGATGGATGTTGACACATAACTTACCTGAGGAATGTGTGGCCAGGTGAGTGTGACATATTGATGGATGTTGACACACAACTTAACTGGGGAATGTGTGACCAGGTGAGTGTGACACATTGATGGATGTTGACACACAACTTACCTGAGGAATGTGTGGCCAGGTGAGTGTGACACATTGATGGATGTTGACACACAACTTACCTGGGGAATGTTTGGCCAGGTGAGTGTGACACATTGATGGATGTTGACACACAACTTACCTGAGGAATGTGTGGCCAGGTGAGTGTGACACATTGATGGATGTTGACACACAACTTACCTGGGGAATGTTTGGCCAGGTGAGTGTGACACATTGATGGATGTTGACACACAGCTTACCTGAGGAATGTGTGGCCAGGTGAGTGTGACACATTGATGGATGTTGACACACAACTTACCTGGGGAATGTGTCACTCCCAGGAGGTTGTCAAGGAGCTGCATTGCACTACTCTGGGCTGCACTACCACCGATCATCTGTCAGAAAATATCATCTGGTTATGCATGTTGATGTAAGGCACCCCCGGATCCCAACTGATCTCCCTCGCGTGGTATCGGGTGCCATCAGTGTTCAACACAGTTGCAGATACAATTGATGCTACTAGAGGGATATATTCAGTCATGACAAAAGTCAACACATTTAATAAAAGTTATTAAGGTGATGGGCAGTGTCCAGTGTCACCAAATCTCCCGACCAACCTGCATAAGGGCATAGTCCGATTTGCCACACATGTACAGGATTTGCATGTGTAGGTACAAGTTCTTTGGTGAAGTGTAAAGAATATTCTACGTAGACGAGGTGACAATAGTTTCTGAATACTGAACATTCACTAATCTTGGAATTTATTGTTTTGTTGGAGCAGAATTTAAATAGCATAATACTGTGAGTCATTTCTACTTGAGGCAGTTTTTCAAGATGGGTTACTTACCTTCACTGGTGCATCTGAAACACCTTCATAGATAAGTCCACCGCTGATGGGGCTGGCTGGTCCACCAAATCTATAGAAAATAGTTGAATAAATTCAGTTATATTTGTTCGCAAGCTGGGGTCATTAAAATATCCTCATTTTACAACAGACGTGGTGAAAGTTTACCTACCCTCCAAGGAATGGACGCAGAACGTTGTAGAAATGTTCAGGTGTTAAATTATCTGAAAATAAAAAGTTATTAGTATTAGCGACAGTCGGTAATACTGGTCGGAACTGAGCCAGTACAATTCCGGAAGAAGTGGAAACCAACGTTATCATGTGCTGTCTGTATCCTTGATTCCACCAAGACAACATTGACGTAGTGTTCAAAAGGCAAAGCCATACAGAACCTTCTCCAAGTCAATGGAAGACCTGGCCCAACAACTGAAGAAGGCCTCACAGGTGCAGTTTACGGCATTAATTATTTCTGCATGGTGCCTCGTGTATCGCTGAAACTTCAAGGTCAGACCCTATAAAACCCAAAGAACACCAAACCTCAGTGAAGATCAAATGCTCTAATGCGCTGTCTCTGACCACAACATCCTTTGGGACAATACCAACATATTCACTAGCAATCAGACCCATTACAAGATCTGGAAACTACTAAAAGCCAAGCGACTCCGACCGGCCATAAACAAGACCAAGGTTATTACATCCCTTCTGCCCCTCATCTACTTATCACTCAACAATCTGGATCCCATTTTTCTCATTGTCCATCAAATAACTAGCTTCCTCTTCATTCTCCCCCTTGTTAATTCTGTGTAATGTAAACTTTCATGCTTATTGCGTAAACATCCATCTCACATTGTATATACATCGACCCTATCTTTCGTGAAAACATCAGTCACCATTATCAGCCTGTACCTTAACTACATAAACATAATGTTATTCATGTATATAAATGCTTTACCTACCGTACTGTTCATAACATGCTTTATAATGCTGTTAGCGTATTCACCGAAACAATATAATTATAGCAATAAAGAAGTTGTATATCCATAGAGCTATTCCCGTGTTCATCACACAAACATGTAAATGTCATTCAAAGAAGTTACACACAAGTTAACATATGCTGTTGAAAATAAATATATTTGTTATATTTTATTAGGACTGCTATGTATGTAGATCGATTAGGCTTCTTAAAAGTAACGAAAAACGTTTAAGAAACATGTTTTATGACACAACTGTATCTGTTCACACAAGACTATTACTAAAGGCGCGTTTGAACAAAGGTTTGAATAGGGCGCAAAAATATCTTATTTATCATCATCGTCGGCGTCATTTCTAATATTGCTGTTGTTATTAGTAGTAGTAGTCTAATAATCTCCGCAACTGACTCACCGTTCATCTTTGCCAAGGAAGTCTGCATGTTGCCGATGACGGTCGTCAGTTCAGTCAACCCGGACGTCAGCTTGGCCTTGTCGTTTGCCTTAGCACCATCCAGTATATTCTGAACTGACTGTAACACAGAAATCTCACATCTCAGAATGCTCGTGCAGGCGCAGACAGAGATAATTCCAGAATGCCAGTCAAACAGTAAACAACAAGTGATGCAGTTATACTACGCGTGTCAGTTCCATGTGCCAGCCAAACAGTTAACAACAAGTGATGCAGTTATACCATGCGTGTCAGTCCTATGCGTCAGTCAAACAGTTAACAACAAGTGATGCAGTTATACCACGCGTGTCAGTTTCATGTGCCAGTCAAACAGTTAACAACAAGTGATACAGTTATACCACGTGTGTCAGTTCCATGTGCCAGTCAAACAGTTAACAACAAGTGATGCAGTTATACCATGCGTGTCGGTTCCATGTGCCGGTCAAACAGTTAACAACAAGTGATGCAGTTATACCACGCGTGTCAGTTCCATGTGCCATTCATACAGTTAACAACAAGTGATGCAGTTATACCATGCGTGTCAGTTCCATGTGCCAGTCAAACAGTTAACAACAAGTGATGCAGTTATACCACGCGTGTCAGTTTCATGTGCCAGTCAAACAGTTAACAACAAGTGATGTACCATGCGTGTCAGTTCCATGCCAGTCAAACAGTTAACAACAAGTGATGCAGTTATACCATGCGTGTCAGTTCCATGTGCCAGTCAAACAGTTAACAACAAGTGATGCAGTTATACCACGCGTGTCAGTTTCATGTGCCAGTCAAACAGTTAACAACAAGTGATACAGTTATACCACGTGTGTCAGTTCCATGTGCCAGTCAAACAGTTAACAACAAGTGATGCAGTTATACCATGCGTGTCAGTTCCATGTGCCGGTCAAACAGTTAACAACAAGTGATGCAGTTATACCACGCGTGTCAGTTCCATGTGCCATTCATACAGTTAACAACAAGTGATGCAGTTATACCATGCGTGTCAGTTCCATGTGCCAGTCAAACAGTTAACAACAAGTGATGCAGTTATACCACGCGTGTCAGTTCCATGTGCCAGTCAAACAGTTAACAACAAGTGATGCAGTTATACCATGCGTGTCAGTTCCATGTGCCAGTCAAACAGTTAACAACAAGTGATACAGTTATACAATGCGTGTCAGTTCCATGTGCCAGTCAAACAGTTAACAACAAGTGATGCAGTTATACCATGCGTGTCAGTTCCATGTGCCAGTCAAACAGTTAACAACAAGTGATGCAGTTATACAATGCGTGTCAGTTCCATGTGCCGGTCAAACAGTTAACAACAAGTGATGCAGTTATACCACGCGTGTCAGTTCCATGTGCCAGTCAAACAGTTAACAACAAGTGATGCAGTTATACCACGCGTGTCAGTTCCATGTGCCAGTCATACAGTTAACAACAAGTGATGCAGTTATACCACGCGTGTCAGTTCCATGTGCCAGTCATACAGTTAACAACAAGTGATCCAGTTATACAATGCGTGTCAGTTCCATGTGCCGGTCAAACAGTTAACAACAAGTGATGCAGTTATACCACGCGTGTCAGTTCCATGTGCCAGTCATACAGTTAACAACAAGTGATGCAGTTATACCACGCGTGTCAGTTCCATGTGCCAGTCAAACAGTTAACAACAATTGATACAGTTATACCATGCGTGTCAGTTCCATGTGCCAGTCAAACAGTTAACAACAAGTGATACAGTTATACCACGCGTGTCAGTTCCATGTGCCAGTCAAACAGTTACCAACAAGTGATACAGTTATAGCACGCGTGTCAATTCCATGTGGAAGAAATACCGGAAGTAATAATGGTGAGAGAAAGTCTTGGATTTAAAATTAAACATTTTATGAATTTATGCCCTCAATAGTGTTTTAACTCACCTGGGCACCTTTCCCAAGAGTGAGCTCCACGATTCCGCACACCTTCAAGAACCACTCCGTGCCGGCACCTCCAGGAAGATTGTACATGACTTCGATGTCCCTAGCAGAGACAGAGATACACGCTTTATATATGTATATATGGGTAAATATTCTTGGTAAATATGTACAGTTGACACTGGTTAGTTCGGGCATCTTAAATGAGGCACATCCCACCTTCTGGACAATTACTGCTGTATATAGTATTCGTGTGCATAATTTGTTCAACAGAATTTCAACAACTAGGACGTTTGAGTTGAGTCACATCCGGGATTCGAACCACACTCAGAATTAGGCATCTAATCGCCAGCATACTGGACCCAGCACTAGAATCTGTACTTTACTGATAAGGAGTAATTCGAAAGATAACAAAATAATGTTGCATTTGACAACTTTCTAAAATGTCTTCATTATGTCTTTATAGCTTCGATAATATGAGAAGTGCCATTAACACTTTTTAGAGGGGTACCCAAACTAAACAGTTGCCAAACTGTATAACTATAACATATACCGATTACAGAGTGATCACATATTCGGAACGTTATAGCTACACAAGGGAGGGGTGATGCTACATTAAGTTAGTTCCGGCGGAAACAGCAGTCATCTGAGGTGTTACAACCATATTGAGTTCGAACTGCAAACACGATTCTTTGGCATGTCGGCACCAACACCTACTTACTGGTTTGGCTAGACCGGCAAACGTGTCCATAATAAATTACCTAATTCACTCAAATGAAGCTAAAATATAGTTCGAAGCGACGTTAAGTCACTGCTTTGAGTGCTCGACTTACAACTCACCCGTTCTTGACTTTGCAGTTTGTCAGACACACATCGCCATATGTCAGGACAGGCTTGAGGCCCAGGTCGTTGGACACGTTCCACAACGGCTTGGCAACACATTCCGGCAGCCGCTAAATACACACGTAATGTGTACAAAATGGTATCCCAACACATTCAAGTACAAAATATACAAGTAATTTGTATTCATATACCCTCTAGCAATGTATGTAGATCTTACAATGCTACACTTTTGGATACACCCTAGAAATACAAATAAGTAGTGAAAACGGCATCGCAACAGATTCTGGTAGACACCAAATATACAAGTAATTTATCACCGTGGAGATACTACAGATTCAGGTAGACACTAGCTATACAAGCAATTTATCATTGTGGAGCTATAACAGATTCTGACAGACACCAAATACACAAGCAATTTATCACTGTGGAGCCGCAACAGATTCAGGTAGACACCAAATACACATGCAATTTATCACCGTGGAGATACTACAGATTCTGGTAGACACCAAATATACAAGCAATTTATCACTGTGGAGCCACAACAGATTCTGGTAGACACCAAATATACAAGCAATTTATCACTGTGGAGCCACAACAGATTCTTGTAGACACCAAAATATACAAGCAATTTATCACTATGGAGCCACAACAGATTCTGGTAGACACCAAATATACAAGTAATTTATCACTGTGCAGCGACAAAAAAATCAGATAGACACTAAATATACAAGTAATTTATCACTGTGGAGCAACAGCAGATTCTGGTAGACAATAAATATACAAGTAATTTATCACTGTGGAGCTACAACAGATTCAGGTAGACACTAGCTATACAAGCAATTTATCACTGTGGAGCCACAACAGATTCAGGTACACACCAAATATACAAGTAATTTATTACTATAGAGTCACAACAGATTCTAGTAGACACCAAAATATACAAGCAATTTATCACTATGGAGCCACAACAGATTCTGGTAGACACTAAATATACAAGCAATTTATTACTATGGAGTCACAACAGATTGTGGTAGATACTAAATATACAAGCAATTTATCACTATGGAGCCACAACAGATTCTGGTAGACACTAAATATACAAGCAATTTATTACTATGGAGTCACACAACAGATTCTTGTAGTACCACACAAGCAATTTATATTCTGGTAGACAAGCAGCGACAAAATCACTATGGAGCAACACAACAGATTCTGGTAGACACTAAATATACAAGCAATTTATTACTATGGAGTCACAACAGATTCTGGTAGACACCAAATATACAAGCAATTTATTACTATGGAGTCACAACAGATTCTGGTAGACACCAAATATACAAGTAATTTATCACTGTGGAGCTACAACAGATTCTGGAAGACACTAAATATACAAGTAATATATCACTGTGGAGCCACAACAGATTCTGGTAGACACTAAATACACAAGTAATTTATCACTGTGGAGCTACAACAGATTCAGGTGGGCATTAAATATACAAGTAATTTATCGCTGTGGAGCCACAACAGATTCAGGTGGGCATTAAATATATCGGTAATGAACAGTGTACAGAAACACATCCATATATGCGATAGAAATACTGTAGCTTCATACTGTATAATGTATACAAGTAATAGTAGCGCAATGTAATGCTGTAGAGATCCTTAACATACAGTTAGCACGATGTGTCTTGATGATACCTGTAAAAGGTAACAATAAAATATTCCAAATAATGTATTATACCATCAATGTGATGTATTCTCATCTTTGAAATGAAAGGTCAGATTAATTCATTGAACTCAGATACTGTATAAATCCGAGCACCATGTCCATAAACGTAAAAAATTCTTCATTACTCGATTCCGACCGAATATGTCGAATAAATCATTATCAGATTATATATGTACCAGGTGCTCGTGAACAGATGAGCGTATCCTGTCACACCGGTGGAGTAATGGTTTTGCAGACATGGTTACAAAGATCGTAGCTCTTTATCTTCTAATTCAAAGCTTAAAAGATCACTATGATGGTCATCAAGTGCCAATCCGCAGGTGAAGTCTATGTTTTGTAATGCCTTGTGCAAAGATGAGGCACTGGATTGTGCAATTACCAGAATCATTTAGCGCTATTTTTTATATGTAAGATAATAAAATGGCAGACATACAAAGATGGTTTTAAGTTACACAAATCAGACTTGCTAGAATTGCCCATTTGACTTGAGACTGCTGTGTCATTTCAATAAAGGTCCAAATTCGAAAAGACAGAGCGTAATCCGTCTCGAATATCTGCAGAATAACATTCGTCTGAATTTAAACGGTGATATAAAATAAGTATAAAACTTTAACGCCAGAGAAAGAACTTCAATTCCCTGACGAAACAATATACCAGTGGTAAAATGGTAAAAGAGTGGGGAAACTTACATGAATAAATCTGAAAATCAGTGCTGACACCAAGTGTTCACGAAAGAGGTAAGATCTAAAATTATTTTCAAAGTAATTGCCAGTGAGTGATGAACTGTGGAGTGACAAAAGCTCCCAGATTTATCTATTCAGTTCTGACAATGCTATGAAAGTATTTAATACAGAAATGTTTAAATATATTTAAAGGTGCCCTACCTGCACTGCCCCACCTTCCCCCTCCTGCCACAGGTACCCGGATGTTATTAGAACCAGCTGCAGATGTGCCAAACGCTTCTGACGGTACCCGGCCAACTTGGAGGAATCCAACAGCGGCATCTGTAACACAAACTGACGGTAGAACACTTGTTCTATTGGGAGTTTCTGGAAATTGACTTCAAGGGTTATTTAATCCTCAAAGTCTATGAAGACACGAGAAAGCTTGCAATAAACACATTCCAACGTAGTATTTTAGAAATATGAAGTCATTGAGAGCATGCAATATGTACGGAGCCAGGCACAGTTCACTACAAGCGGAGTGTTGATGTAAGCTCATCGTGACGTTTAAGATTTGCCAGTTGCAAGAAGTTAAATCTCGAAAATTGGGTTCTGTGTAAGACTGTTACGCGTAGTTACATGATCTCTTACATGTGATTGAATGCAACGAAACACATTTCCACAATAAGAACACCACATACAACGTCAAGGCCAGAGAACGACTAGCCTTGATCATCGGCAGAAATATATTCCCCTGATCGTAGATGACACAAGGGCCATGTAAACTAGAGGACATGACCACCGAAATCAGTGATGGCCTAGGAGCCCGCTTAAAGGTAAATATCTACTTAAAGCAAAGTCTGTTCCCCGACTATATCACAGGGATGTGTTTAAGAATTCCAATCAAATAGTGATGACACAAGGTGTTAGCGCAAACAATGTTACAAAACAACCCACCTCTTTCACGGCATCTCTGAACTTGTGACTGGCTACCAGGTCTGGCAAAGACTTCGCCAGGCGGTTCCAGGGCTCGAAATAATCAGGCAAAACATCCTGAAAAACAAAATATGTTTGTGTGCAATAAATAGATAAACTAGATGTTAGATACCAAGCTCCACATTTTCACTTCATTTTGAGTGACAAAATCCCCCAACCACCAAACCTGAACGTAGACATCAGGTATTCTAAAATGATTCGATTTTTTTTTATAAAATGTAATTAATTTTTGTGGCTAAATGAATGACACTTAATAGATTAATGTTAATGTTATTACCTGCAGCGGCTCCAGTAGAAATCCGATGTCCTTAGACACATGGTACTTGCTGAGCTGAATGTCTGCCATCCTCTCTGTTCCGTTGTCTGGTGCTAACTGATGTTCCTGAGAGTCGCCTCTTCATAGGAGACTCGGGTCACCTTGATCCAAGCTGTGGTGGAAGGTTGAGCATCACGTGGATCAGACCACCGTGGTGATGCTTGTTATTTTCAATGATTCACAGCGGTTTTTAATGGAAGAAATCCGCTACCTCACGTTAACCTTTACCAGGTTATAGTACTTCACATTAAACTGCTTGTCTGTCAAGTCGTGAGTGAGGGAGATGGGTTTAATGCCGTTAAGTGCTCTTCTTCCCCCGGCAAGCCGGCTTAATATTGGAGAAGGGGACATTTTGGGCTGGATACCTCATCCTCCTTAAACACATGTCATCTATATTTAATAATGATTCACACAAGTAGACCACTGAAAAAAATTGAACATTTGAATATTGGTTTTGTGTCACACACATTTTGATTCCACCTGTAAATGTTGATGGTTTACGGTCAGCATGTATGTTTACTTTTCACGTGTTATTTTTGCACTGTATGAGTGAGTGAGTGAGCGTGGTTTAACGCCAGTTACAACAGTATTGCAGCTGTATCACAGTGTCAGCTTCATGTGGAGGCAGATTCCCAGGTGATAGACGTTTCAGATGGTGACCACTTTGAAGATACCCACGATCTGTCGAGCCAAGAATCCTATATGATATATAACAAATGGGAGTCTGTATTCCAAGTGTGTTTTATACCATGTAAATATATAACATCAGTTGGAGAGAATCAGTATCGATTGTTTCCCGAGACAGATTCCACATGAATAAAAGGAAAAAATGTGATAGAATTATATTTAAAGATATATACAAACATTTCAACGAACAGATATGTAGGAATTCAGTCTCTTACGTTCAATAGGTTTTATACTAAACATCTTATGCTTGTTGATTAAATATCTTAATTTCTTGTCATTACTTGAAGAAAAATGGACTTGAGTTCAAAGCATATCATTTGCTTAGTCAAATACTGATAATATTGACCTTGACACATGATAAACAAAATGTTGTAAACGATGAAATATGCCTATAGGTATGTGTCGTGTTTCTACTAACTGTTTGAAGGTGTATTCAAATATGAATATCAAACGTTAATGTAATGTAATGTTATGTTATTTCACAACTCTGAAATGTCGAAATGTTGTCGAAGGAATCGAAACAACAACAAAGAGAAGATTTTTTCATAAAATGTCTAAATGTCTCTCATAATCTTTCCTTTTACTTTTTAAAAACATTGTTCATATAAAATGGTTGTAAAACTAACGCATATATTATGAAATAGCGGGAAATAATAAGGTATTTTTATCGGCCTAATACCTTTTAATACCTAATACATGTTATTGATGAAACGTTTTGTACGGAAAATATCGGTAAAATGCCTGAAAACTAACCTTCCTATTGAAATGACACAAGGTCCAAATGTTCCAACTTCAAGAAAACAAGAGCAACTTCTAGCTTGTAAGGTGGCCTCTCACCATATGTTTGAAGTATCAGTATCTCTTAACGTCGTACTTGAGAATATTTCGCTCATATGACGACATGCATGCGTGTGTATGTGTATGTGCGGCTGCTTGTGCTAGCCCAGACTTAAGCTGGTTTTATAGTGCTAACCCACTGAGATACCATGCTGCAGTGAAGCATGAATACCCCACTCAGACACATTATACTGATTTCGAGCCGACCAGTCCTTGTTGTACCCATTAATGCCGAGCGCCAGGCAGGGACCAACAAGTACCATATTTTAACGTCTTTTGGTATGACGCGGTCGGGGATCGAACCCACGACCTTCCGCTCTCCGCGCGGACGCTCTAACCACAACACCACGGAGGCGGTCACTAAACAGTTATAACCTGTATAACGGTTAAAGACTGGCCCTGTCTTTGGAAGATGCATTGTACCCATGTGTGGACATTGTACCCATGTGTGGAATCGAACCCGGGCCTTCGTCGTGACGAGCAAACACTTCAATCACAGGGCTAAACACACACACACACACACACACACACACACACACACACACACTAGGGAACGTTTCATACGTCCACGACATAGATTGCCTCAGAAGACTAGTGAAAGTGTATGTCCTGTGCAATTTAATAGTTTATTTTTAGTTTCAAATAATGGTTCTTTACATGTCTGCATATATTTTAAAAACACATCTTTAAACGTTATTCCTCTTTATCACTCACGAACAAAACCATCTATTCAATCAGTCACTCACACGACCATTTACTCAACCACTTACATTAACTCACTCAAACACTTACTCAATAAATTACTCAATCACTCATCCACTCACACAACCACTTACTGACTCTATGATTTACTCCAACGCTCACTATAGCAGCTATTCATCCACGCACGCAATCACAGATTCACTCACTAAACCACTCGTGGACTCAACCATTGAAGCACCAGCTCATTCATGCAAACACTCACTCACTCAAACACTCACATGCTCACCCGCTCAAACACACACTCACACAACCATACAGTTCACTCAACAACTCATTCAATAACACTCATGGGTGTGCAAAAGTGTCTCCATATACAGTAAAACCTCGTTATTCCGGACACTGCCGTACTGAGAGAAATCAACCAGAGTAACAAACTCGCTGATTAAAGTCATGGAAATGGTGAAATCTCTCTTTGATGAAGATATAATATATTTTAGACGTGTCCGGAAGACGGGTTTTCCGAATTAACAAAGTTTCGCTGTAACAGCCCCTATAACCAAATATGTATACGGTGTATTTACACTCCACGTGTATGCAGTTTCACGAGACGTGAACTAAGGTCTGGGTGGGGGTGAGGATTGGGCGGGGAGGGGACGTGGAACAGGGAGTGAGTTGACGGCATGCACCTGCAGGAATCTGCACGTACACGCGCACGTGAAATAATGTTCCTCTTTTCGACGGTTTTAGGTGTCTGCTGAAAGATCACTGGCGCCTGTTTCCAATACTTGTATGACTGTCATGCAGACCCTGCGACCGGCACCGCTACGAAATACCGTCTGAGACGGAGGAATTGATGTCTAAAGTTTATGATATCCTATAATGCTGATATAAAAATTCAGTTATGTTAAGCTCAAAATAAAATGTCCGAGACGTGCCCTTGATAATAAGGAACAATAACACAAAAACAGAAGCAAGAAGTCCAGAAAGTAAATGGCTTTAAGAGATAATTGGCCATGAAAAGGTAATCAGGACAATTACTAAACATAATTTTGTTTCATGGACATTTAACACTGTACGTTTTTCATGGATAAAGATAAACATCATAAACTCTCAGTCAGTGATTATACTGACACAAAGGTACTCGAGGAGATTGGTTCTCCAATTAAAGAGGTTTGTGTGTATTTCTTTTCTTCTAAATTTATCATCCAAGAAATTGATTATTTTATTTCAGTAAAATTAAATCAATTTGTTAAATCATAAATTTCCTAAAAGCAGCTCTGAACTAAACCCGACAGGAAATCATAGTTCAGTTGAGAGCTATCATGAATACAACATCGAAAAATACCGACTGGGGGAAATACTAATAAAGAATGGAAAACAATAAATAAATATGTACTATTCTATTTTAAAATACAAAGAACATGTGACTTCTACATTAATGAGCTGTAATCCAAAGCTGTGTACTGTCCTATCAAGCTATATCTTGGCACTTTGCCAACTGATAGGGGTGAAAAAATACGTGCCAAAACTGTACCCATAGTTATAAGATATGATTGCTATAAGCAGAGAACTATACCCATAGTTATAAGATATGATTGCTATGAGCAGAGAACTATACCCATAGTTATAAGATATGATTGCTATAAGCAGAGAACGTTCTACGAGTACCAAGTCAATGGCTTTGAAACACCATCCAATCAATGATTCCAGGTGTTCGCTTGTGTATTGCCCTCCGTTGACATACGACACAAACACATGCAAACACACGGCAAGTCTTCATCCAAGCAAACCTATTGTACAGGACAAAATAAGGAATTATTTTGGACAAGGTTTTGGTTGTGAATGTTTCAGATTTGTAAACGTCATCTTGAATACTATAACCGCAGCTCGTTAGCAGTGGTCGTATGGCGTGCTTGTGTGCAATACACGCAGGAAGAAGTTGCTCTATTATACCTCTCAAGTTGAAGTTGTCTGTCAGTGTATAAATATACGAATGTTATATTTTCTATTACACGTGTGTGAACTTGTTGAATGAATAAAGAACTCTCTACAGAACAGTGATTTTGTATATACGGACATGTAAGTTTTGAGTCAGTGAATGGCTTCCCTGGTTATTACGCAAACCTACATATAGAGTCCAAATCGACTTTCTGGACAAATGATGGCGTTATTATCCACAAATGAATGAGCCAGTGAGTGATTTTTTTTAATTGTCGGAATGTGAAAAAGCACATGATTCCATAAAACATGATAGCATTTTATCGTATTCTATTGCGTGGATCTATGGTTATGATGTCGTCACTTGATTATCTATTTAAAGATCGCCAGTTTGTAGTTGAAATATTGCTGAGAGTGGCGTTAAACAAACCTGTACCCACAAGAAACAAATCTTAAGTAAAGCAATGGAAAATAGCCTTGACTGCAATGAACACCGTTGGTGTAACCATTCTGTGGCAAATTACACTACTCCTGATTTGAAACAACTGGGATAATATACTTCCTCACTGTTCTCATCTAAATACCCTTTCCGTGCTGAACCAGTTCCAGCAATTATACACACTTCTAATGTATTATTATCGCTTCTGTTTTTCTGAAGCCAGGGCTCATCAACATATCTCACCCTTGGTATATTATGTCCCTCAACAGAAGTTATATTAACGTGCCTCGCTGCCCCTGTTTAAATGCAATCTAATATTAGTTAAGCCACATATGTTTGCCAACTGCAAAGGAAATCAGGTATGTTGGTTAAAATACAAAATCAATATGAAATATGCCCACATGTGTTACTTGAGTCGATATGCCAGCGTTATTTGTGTAGCATTATGCCGTCCTGGTGGGAATGTATGCGCTTTGTTGAAGGGTATAAACGT